TTCGAGATGAGGCGTTTCCTCAGCAGCATAGGCGACAAAACGGAGGAGACGGGGTAGGTAGACAGTGGGCAAGGAGCGGACGACATGGGGGATGTTGGATGGGGGAATTCCTTCGTAGACGGCGCGAATAAGTTTCGACTCGTTGAGACGGAATGCCATGACCAGTGCTTTCAGGAACGTAGCATCATCATCAGCGGTGTCGGACTTGGATGCCTTCTTGGCGTTCTCGAGGGTGGAGAGGATGGTAGATGGCGTGATGTCGATATCGAGGTCGAAGGGATCGAATATGAATTCTGTATCCAGGCTGTAGATGAGAAGACCCTCTGTGGAAGCTGCACAGAATGCACGGCCCGTGGGCGCAAAGTCGACAGACGTGACACGCACTTCGGGACGAGTCCGACGGGCACCTGCGTCACCACGTTTAGCACCAGGGAGGGCACTGTCGATGCGGTCTTCCAGATCGGATGCTTCGCCTGTCTCGTCAATGAGACCCCGGGGGCCTGCTTCAGTCAGGTCGCGACTGTTGAGGAATTCCTGGGTACCGTCAAGAGAGGTGTTGACGGAAACCGTGAACTTCTTCACCAACGAGCCGGTCCTCACGTCGTACAAACAGATGAACTTGCTGTTTCCTCCGGCCAGAATACAGCTGCCGTCGGCACTGTATGTGATTCGGTTGAAAGACTTGGTTCCTTCCGCGGTGGCTGCGGTCCGGCGGTCAGACACCTTACGACCTCCGGAGACGTCGCGACGTCCGTCGACACCACCCTGCTGGACTGCGTCTTCTACAGACCAGAAAGACAATTGGCCGTCCAAACTAGACGCGGCCACTTGTTTGCCATCCGGTCGGAATGCGACACACAGAACGTCCGACATGAGCTGCAGAGGCTCGCTAGTCTGAGATCGACCGAAAATGCTCCATATCCGAACAGTGCGGTCCCAGCTACCGCTGACCAGATGACTACCATCGGCAGCAAATGCAAGGCTGACAATAGGACCTTCATGGCCTGACAGCTGATCCAGCAACTGTCCAGTCTGAACCGACCACACATGAATGTCGAATGAATCCGGAGAGCCAGCGCAAACCACTTCGCCGCTGGGGTCGACCGCGAGCGACGAGAAGGACAATCGAGAAGGTGCCGTAAAGGTTCGGAAGTTACGATAACGAATAAGGTCCCATGCACGTACAGAGCCGTCCAAGGATGAGGTATATAAAACACTACCCTTTTTGGCGAACTCGCATGCAGTCACTCCACTGGTATGCTCTGTGAAAGTCACAATGCAGAAGCCGGATTTGACGTCCCAAACCTTGATCTTTCCGTCGTCAGAGGCGGTGACAATCTTTTGGCTATCAGGAGAATAAGCGATCGCATTCATTGAGTCCAAGTGACCCTGCTGCTTCAGGATGTACGACTCTGATTGCCATTCCCATACAAGCAACTGGCCATGTTTCGACGAACCAAGCGCCAGCCACTCTCCAGACTGATTGATCGTGACATAGTCGATATTACTCTGAGAGACACTCAGGAGATGGATCGGGTTGAAATCGGGCAGGTCGTAGAGGCCAAACAGGCCATTGGAGAAACCCACGATCAAGAGACCAGTAGCCGCGTGGAATGTAGCGCAGTTCACCTTGGCATCCTGCTGCATGAAATAGTCTTTCTTGACGATTCTCCATCGGGCATCTGAGATGTCTTCCATGGTCTCTGGATCCTTCTTTGCGACATATTCCCACCTGAACAAGGCACCATCTTGACTAACGGTGTAGATCTAAATGCGAAATATATTAGATGCAGTTTCCAAACAATGGCGGTCATGTAGACTTACTGCTTCTTGGTTAGCCGAGAAGTATGCACCCTTGACACCCTGCCGGTGTCCTGCCAAAGTTGTAGGCTCAAACCCGTCCTCCGGATCCAAGCTCCATATCCGTGCGGTCAAATCCTTGGAGGCCGTGAGCACGAAGCGAGAATCACTGGACCACTCGAGATGCTCAATAGCATCAAAATGACCTGCCAGATCGCGGTGGAGTACAAAGGGAGCGAATTCGAGCTCTCCGTTGGTATCCGTTCCCGGTGTCGATGGGGTGTGCCAGAATTGCAATCGTCTCCCTGCACCAACTGCGAAAAATCGCCCTGACGGAGAGAATTTGAGGGCGGACACACATCCCTTAAAGGAGAAATGATGAATCACAATTCTGCGGTGGAAATTTGTCAAGATCGCACGGCCATTCTCGTCGACGGAAAGCAATAAATTGCCCTTTGGCGATAGGTCCAACCGGTCGATGTTGGTGCGATGCGCAAACGGGAGGGTATAGGAGGTATTGCTTGCGAGATGTCAGCTCATTGCCATGATAGTACAATCAATAGTAGCGAGAATTTAGTGATACATACTGCACCAGGTCAAAAACCGAGACCCGATTGCCTACCGGTGACAGCAGACAGGTTCCATCGGGAGTAAAAAGCAGGTTGCCTTTGCGATAGACCGTCCCTAGAAGGTTGGAGAACTAACAGTAGTCAGAAAGAGTCTTAGAGATCTCATATAGCAGAAGCATACCTTGAAATCCGTCTTCATGGTGTCAATCGTCCACTTGACGTTTTTTCTCTTTTGCGCTCGTCCAAAAAATGTCTTCCTAAACGGGCGATAAGAGAAGAACAGATCAAATGTTAATCCGCCCCGAAATGGACTAGTCCTAAACGGGTAGGATGCTATCCGGGGGTCCCGCTATACCAGAATAGGACTAGCGGCGCGTGATCCACCAATTCAGGGGCAACTCCAAGCCTGGGATTGATTTCGCCCAAAGAAGGCACGCCGGCGACTTTGGATCGGGAGCTTCCAGCCTGCGTTCTTCTCTATTTCTCTTCTTCGACCTCCTTCCCTCATCTCCCTTTTGCTTTCTTCTCCCCCCATTGTCTGTGCCAGCTTTGTTTGTGCTTCACTGGCTTCATTTCCTCTCCGTTGGCCTTATCTTCTTCCCCCCCTGCGGTCCGGATTTATTATCCCTATTCCCCTCCGTCATTTTTGACATCGTCGGTGATCGGTTCTTGCTTGTTTAACCCCTATTATCACCATGGCCCCTACTACGGAGACTGCCTCGCCCATTGGCATTGCCAATGTAAGTAATCGAATCCCAGATTCAGTATACAATGGAATGAGGGGAACGTTTGCTAACTTATCTGTTTCTTTAGCTGCCCAACCAACGGTGTGTACATTTTTGATATTGCAACGGTTGCAATTGAAATAGAAAGAACGATGGAGATCCTAATTGTGGTGATTAAAACAGGCACAAGATTGTTGCTAAGCGGGGTGCGGCGTTTACTATCATGGTGGGTTCCCGGTTTTATAGATACAAACAAGAAATGGTCCATGCTGACGGTGGAGGTTAGGTTGCTGGAGAGTCGGGATTGGGAAAGACCACTTTCATCAACACTCTGTTTTCGACTACCATTAAGAACTACGCCGACCACAAGCGCCGTCACCAGAAGCAGATCGACCGTACCGTCGAGATCGAGATCACCAAGGCAGAGCTGGAGGAGAAGTTCTTCAAAGGTTGTTCACGGATGGATCCTGGATCGTGATGATGTTGCTAATAATGGCTGGACTACGCAGTTCGTCTGACCGTCATTGACACCCCCGGTTTTGGAGACTACGTCAACAACCGTGACTCCTGGCAACCCATCATCGAGTTCCTCGACGACCAGCATGAGTCGTACATGTTGCAAGAGCAGCAGCCCCGTCGCACAGACAAGATCGACATGCGTGTGCACGCTTGCTTGTACTTCATCAGACCGACCGGCCACACCTTGAAGCCCCTCGACATCGAAGTGATGAAGCGGTTGAGCTCGCGTGTCAACCTCATTCCCGTCATCGCCAAGGCCGATACTCTTAGCCCCGCGGACCTGGCCCGCTACAAGACGAGGGTAAGAAAATCGAAGGAGGACGTGTTCATGGATCAAGCTGACTGTGTCATAGGTCCAAAATGTTATCGAAGCCCAGGGCATCAAGATCTACACCCCACCGATCGAGGAGGACGATGAGCACGCCGCCGCCCACGCCCGCAGCTTGATGGCCGCCATGCCCTACGCCGTGATTGGATCCGAGAAAGATGTCAAGACTCACGACAACCGTGTCGTTAAGGGTCGTCAGTACGCTTGGGGTGTTGCTGAAGTCGAGAATGAGGACCACTGCGACTTTAAGAAGCTGCGTTCAATTCTTATCCGCACCCACATGCTCGACCTCATCCACACCACCGAGGAGCAACACTACGAGGCGTACCGTGCACAGCAGATGGAGACGAGGAAATTTGGCGAGGCCCGACCCAGGAAGCTGGACAACCCCAAGTTCAAGGAAGAAGAGGAATCCCTGCGGAAGCGTTTCACAGAGCAGGTCAAGGTGGAGGAGCAACGGTTCCGCCAGTGGGAACAGAAGCTCATTGCCGAGAGAGACCGTCTCAACAAGGATTTGGAAGCCACACATGCTGCGTATGTCCCAATCCCATTATGTGTGAAGAGTTCATCGACTGACCGGCATAGGATCAAATCACTTGAGCAAGAGATCGAGCACCTGCAGGGCCCGAGTACCCGAAGCCACGGACGTCGTTAAGATATTTTGGCCACTGCTATGAACGAAGTGGAAGGACAAAAACCCACGGAGGATGGTATATGCGACTTCTTCATTCCTGTTTATTCTTGATTACCCCTATTTCTTCGATTTTCGTTGCGTATCGGGGCAGTATCCATAATGGGCTGTGGCTCGGCCGTGATACGCTGGTTACCCTTTTTATTTCTTTATTTATTTTGCCGGCTGATAGCTAGCGATGGTTTTTACATCGTTGATAATACTGAGTTGTATTCGTAGCGTGTCAATACAATTAATCTGTGTTTGTTGGGTGCATTCGCTCGTCGGCGGTGAAGTAGAAGTCCTCGGCATGATGCCGGAGTAGGTCTCCATTATTCAAGTAAATCACCTCTACAAATCCTTCATTATTTGAGTCTAGTATACTGCCCATGTCTGCGAAACAATTCTCCAGCCAGCACCTCCACACCCTCAAAACACATAATGGCAAGCTCCCCGCAGCTCCAGCTCCATCTCCGATGAAAACTAACCAAGCACCCAGGCCCCGTCAATGCCATCACATTCTCCAGCTCCCCGGGAACCTACCTGCTAACAGGATCCTCCGATCGCTCAATCCACCTCGCGCGCGCAGTCCCCAGCAGCACGAACACGTACCCCGCAGAATCCACCGCCCCAATCCAACGCTACGAAGCCCACGGCTACTCCGTCCTCGACATCGCCGTGACCGCAGATAATGCGCGCTTCGCCAGCGTAGGCGGAGATCGCGCTGTCTTCCTCTGGGATGTAGAACAGGGTATTACAACGCGTCGCTGGAGCGGGCATAACGCGCGTATCGAAGCGGTGCAGTTTGCGGGTGAGGGGGATGCGGTTGTTGTTTCTGGTACCCTCCTGTTCCCTATAACCTCTTGATCGCAGCAATGCAGTCCAAATGCTAATTAATCAATGGCGAAGGCAGCGCAGACACAACAATAAACCTTTGGGACGCCCGCGCCTCCTCCCACAAACCCCTCCAGACCCTCCCCGAAGCCACCGATACCGTTTCCACACTGCACGCGCATATGCCATTATACTCAATAGTCAGCGGGAGCTACGACGGGCGCGTACGGATCTACGATATCCGTATGGGACAGACAACAGTCGACGTACTTGGTGCTCCGGTGACTAGCGTACGGTGCTCGGGGGATGGAAATGCGGTGCTTGTTAGTACGTTGGATGGAAGGATTAGGGTGCTTGATCGGGGAGATGGGAAATTGCTCAAGGCTTTTCCGGGGGAGAAGGAAAGGGATAAGGAGGGGGAAGGACCGGTATATCGGAACGAGGAGTTGCGGATTCGATCTGTTTTCGCTGTGAATGATGGGGTCGTGCTTAGTGGGAGTGAAGCTGAGAAGGGCGAGGAGGATAAAGGGGCTTGGGGTGGACGGTTTGTCCAAGCAGGTATTCAATCGCAGTCCCAATCTAAGAAGCAAGCTCAAGCGTATGTGTTTGCTTGGGATGTGTTGAGTGGTGAGGCTATTGCGAGTGTTCCTGCTGGGGAGGGCGTGAGGGCTGTTAGTTGTGTGGCGTGGAATGAGAAACGGGAGCAGTGGGCTGGGGGATGTTCGGATGGTATGTTTTCTTCAGGTCTGGTTGTGGTTTGCTTGGGTGCTAACTGGGTGTAGGGACTGTTAAGGTGTATGGTTGATGGATATCCAGTGGTATGGTTTTACAACTTTCTTTCCATGGAAGGATATCCCTGGTGATTCGTGAGACAGCAGCCAGTCACTCAATCTCCTATCAAGATACTGGTTCAAGCCATAGCAGGGTATGGAAGACAACCCCGGCACTGGCAACCTGGACAACCCGTTATCGTCCAGTGTGTTTAATCTAAACTGGACGACTTCCTCCGATGTCAGCGTGATCACCAAGAATACAAGCCTGACTACAAGTCCAGATATGAGAGATGAATATAATGAGTAGCGAACCGCTATTTCTTCTGTCATGTACTATACATACCCGCTCCAGCTGAATCTTAATACATGGGTTCTGTTCACTTTTCTGTTCTGTTTTCCACGACACCACAACACCCAAGGCTCAAAAAAGAAAAAAAGAGAAAGAGAAAGAAGAATACTCGCTCACAACCAGAACTTTTTCAAGCCGTATCACACCGTCCCAACCAACTCCAGGCCAAAACAAAGCACACAAAAGACGAGACCAAAAGAGAAAAGACAGGAACAATCAATCCTCAAATCCCTGAATCAACCCATCCTCCAACTCCCGCTGCTCCCGACTCTCCGCCTCCAACGCATCCACGGCACGAGTCAACTCATACTCACCAACAAGGATTGTCCCAGCCCTCGCCGTACTCAAGAAACTAATCTCCACAGCCGTATCGACCGAGACATCAAAGTCTGGTTGTAACCGGTGCATAGGCATAGACGTATTCGCGTGGGTATAAGCTAAGCGGACTGGTCCACCGCTACCAACACTGCTAGGGGTGCCGTTGGTGCTTCCGGCGCTCGAGGAGAAGACGTTTTTGATGAAACTGTCGAAGGACGAGGAGTGTAATGTAGAACGAGAATTGGAGGAGAGCGCTGCGATGCTTGTTGTTGAAGTCGAGGCGTTTGTGGACTGGTCCAGGGTTCTGCTGTCGTTGTTATTGCTGTGGGTTGCTTCTGCGAGACGGCTGGCAACGCCGCAGACGATACCTGTTGCTTCGAGGGGGAGTTTGCGGAGATCGAGCATGATGGGCACGAGGATTTCTTCTTTCGAGCCTAGGAGGAGGCTCGATTCGTCGTCGTTTGGTTCGGGTGTAGAATCTGCGGTGGAGGAGAAGAAGCGTGGGAGGAGGCGCTTTTCAAGGAGGAGGGAGGCGGCTGGGTCAGCGGCTGTTAGGGTTAGGGAGAGGAAACGCGGGTTATCCACGAGTAAGGTTGTGGTGAGAGCTTCGCGGAGGATGGAGATGGAGCTGGCGTCGCTTGTGTAGCGGCGGTGTGCGGCACATTGAACGAGACGCAGGGAGCGATCGACGGAGGGGAGGATGTGGTTTTTGTGAAGGGAGGAGAAGGTGCGGGTTTGCAGTTCGTCCAGTGTCGAAGGTGGTGGTGTGGATGGGGGAGAGCCCATGCTGCTCGGAGAACGCGAAGATGCCGGACTAAAGCAGCGATTGAACTGGCTGTGGTGACTGTTGGCGAAAGTCTCGGTGGAGATTTCGAATTGAAAGCCGCGGTTCTCAAGAGCCTCGATGACTTGGTTTTTGGATTTGTAGGGAACGATGATGTAGTCGGAGAAGTAGGTCGAGACGAAAAAGATAGAACTTTCCGGTCAGCCCTATACACCATACAGACAGGGGAAAGACGTACATTCCCGCCATAGCCAACGGACTCGTCAACTCAAGAACCCGCTGACCAGCCTCCAAGCCCTCACCGTAGACCTGCATGGCAATAAAATCGTCCCTCGTGATAGACAAACTGTCCGACTCGGACGAAACAGCTCGAAACCCCTCAACCAGTGGGGCAAAGTACTGATCAGCCAACTTCCGCGGACACATCACGGAGCACTCGACTGGCGTGATCGAGATATTCAAGAACGCAGGCTGCTCTGGTGCAGCTGTGACTGTGCCGTCCTCGAGAGCAGGTCCATCGTCCACGTTGATGTTCACGATAGTCTCCCTATCATCATCCAGAGGACTAACCTCGTGGAAAAGCACCTGCAAGATAGGCTTCAGGAAGAACGGATACAAGTTGAGAGGAATATGCACCAGGGCCAAACGGTCCTCCTGTACCTCGACGATAGTGGTTAGTGAACGAAGGATTGCCATGATTGCAGCATTCAGATAGATAATAGAGAGGCTTGCTCACCATGAACTGCACCTGAGCAGAAATCAGAGAAAGAGATTGATCCATTATGGCTCATGGAGACAATTCAGACTGGTGCTGAGAGAGTCTGAAGACTTCACCAGTTCTTTGAGGATGTAGGAGAGGAGTGAGACTGTCTAACATTCACTGAACTGGCAGATGTGAATAAAGTAAGCGGCTTTTTCTGGCATAGTCACCCCTTACACCATGCTGCAATGCCAGCAGAGAAGCACGCATAAATGTACAGGGAATCTACTATGAATCAGCTATACATAGTTGTAGAGGCAGTTGAGAGGCAAGCATGGCGTCAGTTGCCGGAGAGAGCACGCAGGCATACCTTCTGTTAGGGAACAGTTGTACAATTAAGAGTAGTTACAATGAAAAAAAAAAAAAAAAAAAAAAAGAAAGAAAGAAAGAAAGAAACGGCGACAAAAGAAAAAGAAATCTCGAATTAAAAAGATTTATAAATCGAGTTTGCAACGCGTTATCTTCCATTATGCATTCTTTATCGCTTTATCTATCGCCGTCGTCGATGCAACGTTTATCGCCGGAGTGCTTCATTGCCACCAAATACGGTAAATTCCTATACATACTAGATAATAAAGAAGAGGCAACGCCTGCAATGCACCAATGGTCCCAATACAAAAAATGTACGCAGTAGATAAAAATCAATCGTCATCCACTCGCGCCCGCTTCGATCCGCGGTCTTCCTGGTCGGCCTCCTGAATGCCATAGCGCTTCTGCCCTGCGCCTCCTGTCACATCTGCGATCATGTTGTCGATGCCAAAAGGATCGGCTGTATCTTTTTCGAATTGCACGGGACCTTCACGGGACTAGTAGAGTAAAGTTAGCACGCAGGCATATAAGAATAATTGGGAGGGAAAAAGTACCTCATCTGTAGCTCCCCGGAATCCCTCCTTCGCCTTGCCCAACACCTCGAACCGGCTCGACTTTTGAATCTTGCTCATCTCTGTATCCGCAGACTCCTCATCGTCCACATCCACCTGCGCCCGTGGCCGGTAGATGCTGTTGATCGCGTCCTGCGCCGCAAACAATGGCTTGTCGTATGGGTTATCCTCATTGAAGCCTGCGTTCAGGCCGCTCGTCTGATTAAACAATCGCGAGTCCCACATCGCCTCCGAGGACTGCGTGGGCTTCGCCAGCCCCAGCGCCACCTTCTCCGAGATATCACGGTTCTGTTCACGTGCCATGTGCTGGATCCGGCGCTCAGTGCCCATGCGCGATTGCCGAAGCTGCCGCTCTGCATCCTGGCGGCGTTCACGACGCATGCGCTCTCGCTCACGAGCTTCTGATTCGTCCTCGCCGGGCGTGGCCGACCGTGACGAATAAGCAGAGGGACTACGGCTGACGCTGCGGGATCGAGATCGTGCCTCACGACGAGCTGCACCGCCAGCACTGGACCCCGCTCGCTGCTCTCGGGCCTTCTGGGCGAGCGACCGCAGATGCTCTTCTTTCTGCGCCTTCTCCTTCTCCGCCAGCTTCTGCTGCATCTGCGCACGTAGCCGGACCTCCTCACGAGCATGTCGGTCCGCAGTAAACAGTGCCTCGGCAAACTGGGCGAATTTGTCATTAATCGAGACATCCTGTAGGCCACGCCCGTCCGCAGCCAGACGCTTATCCAACGGAACCGTGTAACCCTTGGGATTCTTCCAATTCGACACAGGCGGCGGGATCTTCCACGCCTCCTGATCCTCCGCCGTCAACTTCCTAGGCGGCGAGTGCAGAATGGGCGGGGGCGGCGACGGCGGTCCACGAGGAATCTTCTTGTGCTTGAATTTCGGCGGCTCCATCGGATCCTGCTGTCTCTCCACGATCTTCATAATCCGATCATTCTTCCCACCCCCATCCCCCGACGATGAATCCCCCATCTGATTCGCTGGCGTATACCTCACAAACGTCGGCTCAGCCCTCCTACCCCCCTTCACATTCTTAGGCTTCTGCGCCGCCACAGCCCCATCGACCAGATTCGCCAGCGCATTCTTCGTCTTCTCCATCTGCTCATTCACCTCGTCCTCCGATGGCCGATCCAGCGAGACCTCGCCCATATCCACTCGCTGCCGCAGCGGGATTAGATCCTTGAACGACGCATGCACGACTCGGTCGTCACTGTGGCCGCGGCGCGCGATCGCATCGTATTTCACTTTCCCTTCCGCGTCGACTTGCACCGCCAGAGCATTCGATTTCGAGGCCGTGCCTTTACGGCCCATGTCGAGGGGGTATTGGGCGACTAGGATCTCGGGGAACGCGCCACCGTCGCCAAAGTCTTCGGCTGAGCGAGGGCGCCATCCTGTTCGGTTTCCGTATGGAGGGGGGCCGGTTCTCTATTCCGAGTAAGTATTTTTCAGAATTGAATAGGTAGTTCAGTATAAAGTACTCACCCTTAACACAACTTGCGTCTCATCAATCTGGTCGGCGCCAACCACCCGCGGCCCACGGGGCTGCGCGTGCTGAGGCAGCTCTTCCTCCTCACCGGTGTATTTTGGCTTTGGAAGAGACTTGAAAAGCCCCTCTGCTATTGATGTCATTGTCCCCGTCGATATATGGAATAATTAAAGGTAAGAAGGTGGAAAAGTTGATGAGGTTTTCTGTCTGGAATTCGCCGTCGAAGTCGGTCGCTTTCTGCCGGTTGCATTTTTGGTTGTTTGGGCTACCGTACTTACTATGCAGATATGGCAAAACTACTACGATTTATCAAGGGATTAAACGAGTGATAGAAAAATAGTCGTATAAACGTTTATTCATATTATGCTAGGAATACATGGGAGATTCCAATAAAGAGTGGAAATCGTCAAAATCGGCGTATAATACAAGCCAGAAGCAGAGATCCAAGAGTACATGAGCAGAGAAATGCATAAAATACAGTCACCAAAAGGCGAGAAGACTACCGCAAATGCACTCGCATAGGGCAGCTAATGCCCTCAGTGTCATTCGCTTCCACGTAGTGTTCCTTACCGTGATATCTATACCACACCTTCAACATCTTGGGCAGCAGCGGTGCCGGATCGTGGAAGCCAAGGAGTTGGAACTGCGTTAGATGTTAGTTGATTATCGTCCCGGGATACAGTATACTTATTGGGGGAAGGGAACAACTCACTTTATGCGTCTCCCGCGGAATCACCAACTGTCCACGATCCACCAGCGCCGCCACGGGAAAGGTAACATCAACCACCTCGTAATCCTTGGGATCATACCCCTTCACCTTCTTTCCAGACGACATATACCCATACTGAGCCTTGGTAACCACCAACCCATTCTGCGCCTCTTCCCTCGCCTGCCGGCGTTGCACCTGCTCAGCCATGAGCTCAATAGCCTGCGTACTATCCGCCTTCTTCTTCGGAATCTGCCTTCTCAGCTGTTTCTGTTTCCGCGCGATCAATCGGCGGCGGTTCTTCCGCTCGCGAGGACGGAGGTATCCGAACTCGACCGCGCAATAAGTCAGCCATGGGAAGACGACTGCTGCGATGCCAACGTCCCAGTTGATATTGTCATATGTGCAGACGGTGATGGGGAGTTTGAGCTTTTGGCCCAGTCGGCTCCAGGAGACTGTCAGTGCCAGACCTTGGCCACCTTGAAGACCGACTCCCAGTCCCATGCGGGTGTATTCGCCAACTTGGCGGACGCCTTCGACGCTGAAGGCGAGGCCCATGTCGAGTGTGACGTTGGCTTCGACTTCTAACCGTACAGAGCGTTTTTCTGGCTCTGCGGGGACGCCGTAGTAGCCTTCGGAGGTCCATTCGGAACGAACAGGTTCATTGGCCGGTTTCCCGGAGAACAAGTTACGACCATAACCAAATACAAGAGCTCCCTGCGCCGGGGTTGCTTGGACCTGGACTCGCCATGATTCAGCGGCTTGGTCGGCCTTGCGTTTGTTCTGACGTAGTTCTTGGAACTCTACATCTTCCTCGTCATCCTCATCGTCTTCCAATGAGATGACCTTCTGAGAACGACTCGGTTCCGAGACAATACCAACGTTCAACGAACTGGCTTGTTGGAACGCTGCCATCGCAAGGCCGGCATTTACACCCATATCATCACCAGGGTTGAGGAACCGGTGAATCGACCGTGGCCAGGACAAGGTACCACTTGACCAGGAAACAAACGCATGCTTTCTCTTACTGATCTGCTTCTGCGTCCCAAGGGAGATTGTCGGCGGCGTCATGTGCGGCCAGTTCATGAAGGCGTTCGAAAACATGATTCTGAATGGATACGCCCCGGGTACCGGCGCAACAGCCTTGGTGATTGACGTGGTCACGAATGGGAATGGCAGGATATGGGCATTGACCGCGGTGCCAGAGTTGCTGAGATATGTAAAGGGCCATTTACCTAAAATGCCCTTGGTGCTGGTCATATCTCCAAACACGCGGCTGGCCATAGCCCCGAGGGTCACCTCCGGCGTAGACATTACTGGCCGTAGAGGGATCTATACGCCAGTCAGTTTCACACGTTCTCTCAGTCAAAGTGTAAGGCCTACCTCTGCTGACCCCTCCCTACCATCCTCATACCGTAACTGAGCCTCCTGCACCAAATGCTCCACGGGCCCCGAAATGCCCGCATTAATAGTCAACTCGGGCTTAAAAAGCTCCTCATCATAAGCATTCTTCTCCTTCGCCCCCTCTTTGTCATCATCATCACCCTCCTCCTCCTTAACCATCTCCCCAAATATCCCCTCCCAGGTCGGAAACGGCGCCTTAAAATTATACCCCACAGCAAAAGACCCCGTCTTCACCTCAGGCAAATGCACAAAAAACTCCGTCCCATCCTCCGACAACTCAACCATATCCGACGCATCAACCCCCAACGTAACTGCCCCCCGACTCTGCACCATACTATTAACAGCAACCCTCTCCCTCTTCCTCATCAACTCCAGAAACCATTTTCGGAACTCCTCGGGACTCTTCGCCTTCACCCCGACTTCCCTCTTCCCTCCTGCTCCTCCCGCTCCCATGGTCCCCGTCGCGCTCCATTCTGCGCGTACGCCTTCTGCGCCGAGGATGTCGTAGACTGTGCGTTTTCGCGCATCGATGAGTGTCTCGTAGGCTTCGTGGATGCGCTCGAAGTGGCGTTGGGCGGCTTCGCGGAGGTGAGAGGGTTGTTTGTCTGGGTGGAAGCTGAAGGTGAGGGTGCGGTAGGCGGAGCGGATTTCGGGGTCTGTCGGGGGTGGGTTGCGCGGGAGACCTAGGAGGGCGTAGTAGTCGTCTTCATCGTCGGGGGGTTGGGGGTAGGTTTGGAGGGTTGTGTATTCGTCGGACATGGGTTTTGGTGATGATGGTGGTGGGTTGGGATTTTGCGGTTCTTTTTTGCGCTGCGCTGCGGACCCTGTGGGTGCTGGTGATTGCGACTTTTCTTTTCTTTTCTTTTCTTTTTTTTTTCTTTCTGATTCTCTTGAGAATATAGTCGTGTTTGCTAACAGTCCATTATCGCATGTTTATTGGCGTTGAGAAGCAGTGCGCAACGCTTGTCGTGATGAGAATGTAAAAAATGGGATGACGTTGTTGAAGGGGCTCGGTGCCGATGCTCCGTTTCTTCGCTGTTCCACGATGCGTTTTTTGCAGTTATGATATTTTTGTCTACATATCAAGTTTACTAGTAGCTCACTTTTACATACAGTAGAGTCATTGGGCTCATGAGTCGGGTAATATAATGTTGGTGGTGTGCATCACCTCAAGATACAAGATTGGCGTATTGAAGAGAAGGGGCACAGTTCAAATGCAAAATATTAATATATAAGAATATGTACAAGAATGGGAATCCATAATCGATCATGTCAAACACGCCGTCATCCCATACGCACCATCACGCCCAGACGAACAGAGAATAACAATCAAAACAATATATGCCAGGGTATACAGTAACAAAATCAAAACAAGCAAAGACAAGAAAGCATAATAAAAAAACATTACTGGTAACTGTTCTCTTGAATCCAGAGAATGTTGTCCTTCGACAACGAGGCGTCAACGCCCAGAGCAATCAACAGCCTCTCACGAGGCAGACCCCCATACAACAGGTCCTGTTTGTTCAACTGCTGTGTTTTGAGGCTGCACTGCCTCGCTATAGGTGTAGGGGAGCGGGCCGCGGCCTCCAGTGATGTACTATCCACCACGAACCCTAGTTTGTCTGATCGAGGGTTGAGAGATTCGACCATCGCATTTAGCCGCGTTTCGATCAGCGAAACCAAGGGGGACATCCCCTGCCAGTGGCGACTAAGTCCTCGCATCATGTCCAGTCCACCTCGGATCAGGTTGATAGAGTCCAACAGCCCAGTTATCGCACCGGCTGCACTGAGAACATCAGCCGCGGAGAGCACCATATAGCCCACAAAGGGGTTGAAGATCATTGTTTGAAACGATTCCGATTCTGCACCAGGCCCCGAAGAACCATGTTCTGATACGCATTGTAAGTAGGCCAGACATATCCGTAGTATCTCGATTGCATGGTGTCTGGCTCTGCAGATAAACCGGTCCACTGTTACAGCACGAAGATCCTCGTATCGAACATAACGATTTAACTTCAACAAGGTGTCATGGTAAATCAAATGGTTGAGGAGAAGTATGTTCGCTTTTTTGGTATGAATGCTTCTCTCAATATTGTCGGCCGTGATCGCGAGTTCGTCGGGGAGCTTCCTGGACCACTCATCGCACCGTTCGACAATTGATGCATAAAATGCTTCAAGGATGTCGTTATATGATTCAGCGGGGGTCATAGAGAGTTTGAATCCCTGATCTGATACATCTCCCCACAAGGACAGGACGTCTATAAGGAACGCCAATGGGCTCAAGACTGAGATGTCATTCGCTGATGATGGCGCTTTGTTTTGAAAGTATGGCACTGTCACGTATTGCTGTGCCTCGTAGGTTTCTTCCCGGCATGGTAGACGTAGGAAGGCCGCTTGCGACGGTATGAAAGGTGAATTGAAACTCGAAAACCGCTAATGTTCTCCTATTAGCAAAGGCACAACCTTCTGAGAAAGAGCAAGAAAATACTCACATCCATCAAGTAAGCAACCCAAAACGTCCGACGACGACATTCAATTAGCGCTTGTGGATGTAGACCATATTCGCAGCCTTGGTTCTGGTCCACAATAACACCCAAGGATTCAAAGTTATAATTCAAACCACTGACTGTTCGAATCGCTGCGCCTACATAGTCCCAAGATTTGAGCACAGCACCGATTGCGAAGTACCAAAGACTCATGATAATACGGCTCTGAGCCAGTTGCAGTGTAAGCGTATTCTGGGTATGTTCCACGGCATATCGTGCTATACGGGAGTACTTCTTCAAAGCCGCCACCTTGTCTGAGCGATCTGAGAAAACACATCCCATGGCCAACATCCAGTAAAGCAGCATATTGTCATCGAAGGACTTGGCCTGGCAGGATTTAACCCACAGGAGGAACCATTTTCGTGGAAAGATAGGGTATAGGCTGTCATTCACGTAGGTGAAGTAGTTCTCGAGATGATGTGTGGTTGACTCCGGTTCGACTTCATATGGGTCTGTACTCCATTCGCGTGCCAGTGGATCATCAGGATCTAGATCCCTCATGGCAAACAGGATCTCAGTGTAATCGGACTGTCTCTGAGGCTCCATGCTGCCAATCAGGGAGCGCTTGGAGGATTCGTCCTGTCCAGCGGATCCCCTGCTCAGGCGCCGCTTTTTTGAGCTGTGAGGTCGTTCAGATTCTCCATCGCTCCGCTGAGCATGGTCCCAGGCTGACAGTGTGCCCATTGTTGTATCTGATTCCGGGGTGTGGGCGGCAGTGAGTGGGAGAGAAGTTGATCGTTCCAACGCGGGCGCAGTGCCTATAAAGCTGGAAGCACCGGAAGACTCATGCGACAAAGCATCATGCCTGCTTGCCAAGTGTGAAGATTTTGATGCAGCTCGGTTGCCACGAGGCCTTTCCAAGAGTTAGTCCACAGGAAATCTTCATAACGCCACAATCGAGTACTTACGCATTTTCAAATCGGCACTCTCGCCCAGATTTCTGGCATTGGTCGCACTTGGGCAGATTTGGATGGCACTTGATTTTCTTTTCCCTGCAGGTAAGGCACGCCTGTGCCAATCGTTTCCTGGGCTTGCCCGCCTTGGTAATACCCCAATTCGCGTTGACCGGTACGCCATCTATATTTTTCGGGCAATATGAACTGTCAGCGTACACATAGCACAGCCCTTCTCCCTCTATGTATCTCTCATCGACTACATGCGGCTGGGCCGAAGGCGCTTGCGGTCGATTTTCGGTAACTGCCGTTGATGGACGAAGGTCACTAGCTGGTTCCTTGTTCGGAGGCGTTGCACCCAGGTGTGGAAGTCGATCATGGTGCAACGGTTGGTCTGACAAAGTTCCGTATGTTTCCGGGTGCGACCGCAGTTCATCCTCTCGGTTTCGAACGGGGGTGTTGACTATCGGGGGTAAGCTCCTCGGCTGTTGGTAGGTCGATCTTTCGAAGATTGGTGCACTAGGCGCACTGGAGGCGAGACTGTGGTCATCATGGTGGACTGAGTAAGCCGCCTGGGTATCACGGCCTGGTCGGCGATCATAAGGAGACGATGCACTCGACAGAAAGACGGGAGTCAGCAACTGACTAACCGACGGCAGTTGCTCCTTCCTTGGCCCCGTGTCATCCCAGCACCGTTCTGTGCCCGAATTTGGTCTTTCTGTCGGAGTGTGTTGACGTAGGAAAGGGTCTGTTCCAAATCGTAATGGTATTGGCGCTCGAGGCGGGGGAAGTTGATATAGGGAACCCATCGGTTCTCGAGAGGATCTTGACTCTTGCTCAGAGGGCGGATCATGGATGACAGGTAACATACGGCCGAAGGGTCCGACAAAGTAATTGGGCATAATGGTATTTTCAATCGGGGATGTATCAATGCTGTGTATTCGACATAACAGCGGTGTCTAAGTGAAGATAGATCCGGTATGAGATACAAGTCCGGTCGAAAGTCTTGCGTGCGTTGAAATTGGCAGTCCTCAGGAGTAAACGGACACTCAAGCCACGATCCCCTAGAGACAGAAATGCCGTGAGATGTGTCGATAGGAAGGATACAACCTGATAAAGACGGTACTTAGCAAAAGTCCCTAAATTTCGCCGGATTAGATACACACACCCTTCTTTAGTTCCGGGTCTTCTCTCTTCCAGCGCCAGGGATGGTAAGAATGGTAAGAAGAGTAAGAAGAGTAAAATCCGAGCTATTCGACGACGAGCTGAACTAAACCCGAACGATGCGGGGGGAGGGGGGGGACAGATGACCAGCACCTCTGCAAGATGATGAATGATTTCCCTCGTAAGACGGCGCACGGCGAAAGATTATGAACGATGATGACAACGATAAGAGAAGTGGCTTCTTCCCATAGGACGAGACAATCAATATCAATTGGCCGAGTATGTCTGCGCCGCAGACTTCATGTGCACACTGTCATGTCCGAAAGGAAGAATAATAATGAGTGGAAACGAGCGAACGACTGGAGTACATCTAAGCACATCTAGTTCGCAAACGACAGTTTTAACTAGTAGATTGCCTGTCCGGCTGTTTCTTTGTACCTTCTCCCAGTTAGGTTCTTCCCATACTAGGATCGCTGCAGGATCCCAGTTGATCGACCGGCAAATTGACCGAGAGTCTTCGTTGGAGAATTGAGCTGGAGCTGCTGCGATCACAGCCAAGCTGACTGTTTCATTATTGTTAGGTTTGGTTAATTCTGGGGCAGAGGAGGAGAGGAAATGAGAGGGAAAGCAAAAGAAAAGAGAAAACAACACGGTGGAATGGAAGAAGAAGACGACGCAAAGAAGTTTGGAATAACCAAAAACGGGAAGGGGCAGAAAGAAACCATAGACCATCGTCTTCAGGGATAGATTTAATCTATTGAACGCACGCCAACGTTTTTTTTTTTTTTTTTTTTTTTTTTTTTCTCTCTACTGTACTAGTGATAACGTAGCTACTAATTCTTCTTCTATCCTATAAGTATGCCATAGCAGAATAAAGTGAACAATATTGACATTTCGGACATTTTCATGGCCAACGGTATCTCTTTTGCCTCCTCCCCGAACAGTAGTATCACCACTCCATACCCTGAACAAGACCAGTGTTTCTGATGCGCACGAGGTCCAGGACACTTGTTTCAACCAATTCCCAGCGTACGTACCGGTAACTTACGACTGGTTTCCTTCTGGCTCTTAGAGTTTCGCTCCCCGACGGACTTTTGTCGGCCAGCATTACCGTGTTAGAGAACTGCTCCGTACTCTTATCATGTCCGGGTACGGGTCCTTGCTCCACCGTCTACTTAGTTTGGTTGCCTCACGGGCTGCCGAGAAGTAGTACTACTAGTGAGGAGAGCAGGGGACACCGTCTGCGATTCAAAAAAGGTATGGACGATCTGATCTGCAACTGTCAAGAAGGGTAGGGTTCAAGTCGGGTTTTCCTGTGCGTTGAACTTGCTTTTTTTTTTTTTTTTTTTTTTTTTCTATTTGTGTTTAGTTATTAAAACCAATCAAAAGTCTCCTATGATAGTGATTGACGCATCTCCGTAACTCGTACCGAGTCTCAAGAGGATTGCTAGTTCGGTAAATATATACGGAGTATATATACTGAACCAAAACGGTTAATGCATTGCCGGAATTCTTCGTTTATCATTGGCGTGATCCCTTCAACCCCAGAGTTCTTCTGCCCGAACATTTCCCGGCCTGGATGAAGGTTAAGGGAGAATACGAAGTCTGTGTCCAAGTGGCAACAACGGGCACGTTCCATAGTAAAAGGGGGCCAACGTCCGTTCAAGGTTTGGCAAAGTTTGAAACAGGGAGTCCGATCGCGACGAGTTCAGTAGTCCCTCCAGATGCCACAGAGAGACGATACGGGGAATGACTCCGTCCGTCGATATCCGGGAACCGGAATACGCACGTACCGGATAATGAAAACGAAGGTACGGACAATGGAGCAAAGATCTTTCCGATCTCGGGGTTTGAAATTTCGGCTTTACTAGCCGATGCAGTACTTTTTTTATACGGACTTTACAGACTAGACAAGGGTAGCATACACACTGTACAGGACACTAAGCTGGGATTCTTGAGTAGATGACTGCGCCGAATACATAAAGTTCGCCGCAGAGTTCGCCCGAAAGAAAACTTTGTGGGGCAACTGAATCATTCGGCCGGAAATGGAGGCTGGGAATTACTCGTACTGCTGATATGCACTCTTAAATCCCGGCGGAGCATAATTCTACGATCCCAATGTCTGGTGTATGTGCTCCCATACATTATTCAAGCTTCGCTTATGCTTCTCTTAATTTTATTTACTATGTACCCCATTTTGCCTAGCTGGGCTAGTAGTGTCAGGGTGCAGGGTCAGGTACAGATATATATTAGGAGTTGACGAACAGGATAAGTTACAGGTCAGGCTATCTACAGGTTCATAGACAAGACGCAGCTCGAAGAGCTGCAGCAGGATCGGCGCCAGGCGCGAGGCACAGATAGATATCTCGTATGGGTCACGTGCGGATCACGTGTACGTAGCGGACTGGCACCGTGACAAGTAGCCCAATAATAATCCATGATGTATACGAGTCCTCCATAATGTCATTGATAAACGTTTGAAGTTTAACTAACTAACTAGTTACTATACATCGCCATTTCTATTATGTAATACTGCCGGTGGCTAACTAGTTAGTTAGCTGAACCTCAAACCATATCGGTGGTATATCTCATTAGGGTAACAGGTTGATTTACCGTGCAGAGTACAAACTTCTGGAGATTCGGTATGGTCAATGCATTCTTATCCAGGGTCTGAATAATGCTACCGGAAAAGTACAGCTTAACCAAACAACTGGCTACTCATCCACCCTTGAATACCAGTAATTTGTTATACACAAGTATATATATATTTTACATTCCTACTCCACACAGCACACTTTCGATTGGAATGAGATCGATATACATACTCCGTACCTTATATCCGATATCTCCATATCCTGTGACAAAATACCACCTCGGTCCTGCAATTACTCCAAGATAAACAATCTCACATCACCAGAATATCCCTATATCCATACAGAGCAAGCGCCGTGGCCCTGCATAGAAAGTTTGTACTACATAGGTATTTGAATTTAACTTCAAGAGTTGTCTATCTTTTGTGCATCTTCATACAAGAACATACAGAACACGACTACGTACTCGACTTATCTCGGTATGAACGGCGATAGTGTGTGCCCCTTAACTACATCTACCCCTGCGTCTTTGTCTCGTGTGTATGTGCTATGTATAGACATTATCCTTCGTACGGCGCAGGGTGTGCGGCTCGTGCATGGCCTATTGATAGGTTCTAGATCTACAGAGTAATAACTTTGGGCGACAATGAAAAAGACACTATACTGATATTAGCCTCCAACCTTAGGACAATATGCTTATGCGCGTATGAGGAGTGACATTGACCAAAAACCAGACCATTGATACGATACTTCCTTCAAGCAACGACAGAAGTTGAGAACCGGGGACACGTCTTAATCCAAGCCACCAGATATGCTTGCCCAAGAGCAACACGACGACTGATGCCGTCCCAAGTTTCAATCATCACCAAACCGACTAGGACCGCAAGAGAATACATCCCACTGCCGTCGATCATGCTTGACGACAATTCTTCCAGAGTCCCCCGTACAATCCTTCCAGCTGAGCTCCTCTTTCACGTAAGCCAATTCATACCCTCCTGGGACGCTGCCATCCTATACCTCTTCTCTTCCCAATGATATAACCAGAGCGTCAAATTGTGCTTGGGGATTATGCTCGTAGATTGTGTATGATTTTTCTTGGTCCGTCGTTGTGGGAAATAGCCACCCCCGCTGCAACACCGGTACCCGTATCTGTTTCCAATTTCCTGGTGTCACAGGCAAATCCATCTGCTTGTCTCGGTGAGAATTTCGCACCGCCGAAAAGGGATTGTGTGCGCACGATGATCCTCTCAGGCTCTTGTGCTTTTTGAACCAGAAATATTCGTTCCCCTTTATTCAAGTCTCCGGTATTGTATCTGTGTTGTAGCCCCAAATCTCGTCAAGAGAACAAGCCTCTATTGGAGGAACGGGTTTTCATATTTGCCGCTTAAGCAATAGCAAAGTCGTGTACACCCTCGCAAGTAGTCAACGGACCGGGCTTTCTTGCTATTAACTAGTGGAAGGGGTGAGTGTCCTCGTGGACAGACGGGTCATAGCATAGTTATGTGAGGTTCCCAATGGAAATGTTGGATCAGGTGCTATTGGGAGGTACTGTTGTGTATAGCAGAAGTGTGAAGTTTCGTCCGGCATAATTAGTGACGCCAATGATTAGAACAATCGAGACTTCCCACATGTTATTGTCTTTACATATCTTTATGCTGTCTGCAACCTGGGTTGATGATATGAATACATAAAGAGAAGGTTTCGTCGCAATCAGATATCTGATCAGAACGACGGTCAGACTGTTATGAACAAGTACCGTAGTACCTGCATATGATTGCTATGAGAGCGCTCTGAGGGGGAGGGTTGACTTTTAAGACTGGCAGATCCGCTGGCCTATCTCACGCTATCATTACTTCTACCAGATGATGTACTTGGGTATATACATCCTGGATATACGCTACTCTTTCTGAACTGCAATCTGGATACAGGTGGTTTATACAGTCAACACGGCTGAAACTAGGCACTTTCGATGCCATGTCTCTCTTGGTGCTGGGGATGTCTGGTTACAATGCATATTTGCATTTGGTATCATACTACAATAACAGCATAAACTACAGAATCGTGAACAGGGTATTGCGAACCATTGCATTCATTGGTCGACTTATTTTTAAACAGATAACAAAAATTAAAGATCAGACACCCCTTTTACCAAAACCCATTTAGTCCTCACGGAGAGTCTTGACGAAAGCCTCAGCAGCGCGCTCAGGCTTGCCGTGCTCAACACCCTGCTGGCCAAGCTTCTCCTTGGAGAAAGCAGCGGCATAGGGGTTAAGACGGAGCATGACCTGCTTGTTGCGGAGAGGGTTCTTCTTCAGGACACCCTCACGCTTGGTGCGTGCGTTGCCCTTGGGGGCGTTGAGGACCGACTGGATTTCAGACGAGTTGATGAGACGGGTCAGGTCGGCGTTGGCGACAACGTTCTGGGGCAGGATGTAGTCCTTCTTGAGGGCGGAGGGAGTGGAGGTGGTGCCGTAGACCTGGTCGAGGGCCTGGAAGGCGGCGGAGGACCAGACGATGAAGCGGCCGAGGTGACCACCGGGGGCGAGCTGGAGGAGGTTGAGGGCCTGGACGGAGCAGGTCTCAACACCAGGAACGTTGCGGAAGGCACGGACGAGCTCCTTGCCGTCGGTCTCGGGGTTGTAGATGACAAGGGGACCGCGGCGCTGGCGGAAGCGGCGGTTACGGAGCTTACCCTTACCGGCGCGCATCTTCTTGGATTGCTGGACCTTGGCGAGGTCGGAGCCGGCACCGAGGGCCTGGAGGAGGGCAATGGCAGCCTTGGTCTTGGTCAGGGAAGCACCCTCGAAGGTCTTGGAGTCAACGACCAGGGGAACCTCGGGGACGTTGGCGACACGGTGACCGCGGGCGAAAAGCAGAGCGGGGACGGAAGAAGCAGCGAGGGCAGAGGCGGTAGCGAAACGTCTGTCCAGGTTAGCTCCTCCATCGCATTTTTTTTTTCTTTCCATTCATTCATAAGGTCAAACATACCTCTGGCCAACGTTGATCTTCTGGTGCCACTTTCTCCAGACCTTGGTGGGAGCGAACATACGACCCGAACGGCACTGGTTACCGAAAGCAGCCTGACCAGCACGGTGAGTACCACCACCAGAGACACGGGGGATACGAGCGACAGCGCGACCTATCATCATCATCAACATCCATCTTTCTCCCTTCACATTCAATTTTTATGGCCAAACATACCGGTACCCCAAGACTCAGCAGAAGTCTGTTCACCAGCCTTCTCGCTCACGGCGTAGGGCTGTCTCTTGTTCTTCGCCATACCGGTGTGAACCTGCCTATAGCCCTGTCAGCCTCCTTGCCCCCCCTCAACGGTATCCCTCCCAATCTCAATTTTCCCCCCCCTCCCCAAGTTCAAGGTTTGCATACTGGACGATATCGAGACGAATGGGCGAAGTGAAAACAGCCGGCAGGGGGTGCGAAGCCCCGCTGGGCTTGCCATCAGCCGTGGCGATAGTGACGGTAGGGCGGGATGCCATTGTTGTCGGTTGTCGTCGTTTCTTGTTGCTGCTCTTCGACAAAGGCAAGAGATTTCAACAAGAGGAGTTGAAGATCGCGATGGGCGGTGGTGCAAATTTTCGCTTGCCGTGGGTGGGTCCCATTGAATTTTGGTGTGGGTTTTATGTGAAGCCCTGAGCCCTATCTTGCTGCTGTTTTGGGTTGCCGAATGCCAAGACTTTATACTACGGAGTATACAATATACGGAGTAGAGCGAGGACAGAAGATGTTTATGCTTGGCCATACCTAGATTTCGTAGATGTACGGAGTAGTATCTTATTAAAGACTGGTTTATTTGATTGTATGTACTAATTCTGAAGGTAGGTTGGGTGGTACATACAACTATGGAGTACAGAGTACGCGGATGGAGTCTCCGTGCTATACAGCATCGGAACGACAGCCGTAGAGCTTCATACAGCGTACTCCGTACTCAATTTGCAGATGTCTTACTTCATACAATGCGGCCATCACTCTATCAGCTCGAAAGTCTACAGGTACGAGAACACTACAAGAACAGATATGCGAATGAATCATTCTATTGGCTGGAGATCATACGCAAGTCAGGCCACAACAGACAGAACTCCTAAAGTCATGCCATGCAAATCTTTGCTCTCCACTCAGTTTTGAAAAGTACATACACGAAGGAACAAAAGGGGGTGTCATCATGAAAAAAAAAAAAAAAACCGACGAAAAAGATAAGTGAAAAAAGCGAGTGTAAAAGGGTCCATCACCGTCAGACGGCTACGGAAACGAAGCAAGTAAAAAGAAAGTCGTTAATATCTGAACCGGCAGATATGGTATAGAGGCGGTTTTTTTTATTTTTTTTTTTTTTCATGCGTGGCGATGACCACCATGGGCACGCTTTCCGAAACGCATCGAGTTCATGCGAGGCTTCAACTTGGAAGCTTGGGCACCAAGGTCGGCGCTCACACCAACGGTGCATGTGACACCAGCAGCCATCTGCTGAGAAACGCCCCATTCAGTGGCTTCAGCGTCCTTCTGCACACATTGCTGGTAGCTCGAGCCATCGAGACAGTTGTATTGGCCCAAGGTGCACGAGCCGGATGCGCCAGAGCTGGAGCTGGAGCTGGAGGCTGAGCTAGAGCCGGAGCCGGAGCCGGAATCAGAGGAGCCAGAGTTAGATGTGGAACCGGAGCTGGAAGCGCTAGACTCGGCAGCCGGAGCAGCAGACTGGGTGGGAGCTGGAGCGCTGACCTCAGAAGCGGAAGCAGCTTGAGGAGCATAGGCACCACCGGTAGGAGCAGAACCACCACCGAGACCAAGGCTGAGACCGAGAGAGGCACTAACAATGGGGCTGGGCTCGGAGCTGGCGGACGAACCCGAGCCGGAACTGGAGCCAGAGGGAGAGCCGATGCTACCGCCCTCACCACCAGAGAATTTGGCGGAACCCGTGCAAGCACTCTCGCCCTCCTGCATGAGTTGGCTGGCTTGGCCGAGGTACGCAACGTCATCACCGGGTTTGGGGAAGCGAATGTTGACACTATCTGGCGTATCGCAGCCGTTGACGTTGGCGACGAACATGCCAGGGTAGTTGGTGGAGCGCTTCTCCTCCTCGGAACGCTTGGAGGACGAACCGCCCTGGACGGTGATAGGTGCACAGTTCATGTACATCTCACGGTTTCCAACACGGTTGAACCAAGTCCAGGCCATGGTGTACTTTCCAGCATCGATTTCGGGGATGGTGAAGTTGAGACCAGGGTTGTCGATCACGTTGTTGGCATTTTCCGCCAGGTTACCCGTGGTATCGACAGGGCAGCCACCTTCGAAAGACTTGATGACGTACCAGTTGGATTGCTTGGTGGGCTTCTCGTCGGTTGACAAACTGATTTGACATGAACCACCACCGTGAGTGGCACTACCCTTGAGTTTGAGTTGCACAGATTCACCGACGCTGTAGACGTTTTCCTGGCTGGGCGCATCGTAGTTTGTAGCCTTGCAAGGAAAGTTGCTGCCGCTGGCATCCAAGGGAGAGTTGGTCAGGTCGTCCGTGAACGGGGAAGGGTTGGTCATGACCAAGTGGGCGTTGACAGCCGACGCACCCAAGAGGGCGGTAGCCAAAACACTCATTTTGAAGACCATCTTGACGAGATTTGTTGTGTTTTTTTTTCTCTTTCGAAATTGAACCGTTCGACAGTTAAAGAAAGATTTCTGATCGTACCAGACGAGTCAGAAACGCAAGTAGTAGAGACCGGACGGACGTTGACAGAGCGCGACAGACAGAAGATCAACTATGGGAGTAAAGTTAGCATGGCATGAAACGAAGAGAGGTGCGTACGACCAGTCTTATATGTCTCCCTGAGGACAGTCTTTGTTGGGTGTCTGAATGCCACACAATGAAGCACACAGCATACAAAGCCAGAAGACGCGTACAAAAGAGAAAAGAAAGCCAAATGAAGGGCACAATACCTTTATCTGCTAGTCACGAGCAATGAAAGGCTCTTTTGGAGGATTTCTGGTCAAAGGACTGACGGAATCTGCCACAGGCAAAAACCACACACACGAGGGAGTGATGTTGTAAGGATAGAAAAATGCAAAGATGCAATAATGAAAGAAACAGGAACTAGCCCGTATGAAAACAGTCGAACGATGTAGGGGGGGGGGGGGGAAGGATTGAAGGCGCTCCAGCGTGGGGGAAGAAAGAGAGAAAAGAAGAGAAGTGGTGGTGGCAGGAAAGGGGATTATATAGACAACAGCTCCCGTCTGTACACTATGGTAAGACTAGTACTGACAGTGATTGAGTCTCCACAGTGGATTGACTTTTGCTGGGATGTTTCAGAATAAACGCTCATCCCTTCCGCCGGGCCTGTGAATGGCTAGTCTCCCCTCTATGCAGTCGCCGACATAGCGCTCGCTGAGCCACTCATGTCGCACCATCAGCCGGTGCCTGGATGGGTCAGCGGTTACTCAATATAGCTACAGAGGAACAATTGTTTTGTCTGACTCGATTTATGTGAAGAATATTCTGTATGGATGAGTAGACGCCTACTTTGTACAGGTCTCTGTACAATTACTCGTACGGTGTACTCCGTAGTCCATAGTGAGTGACAGTGTACACCGAGTAATACCCACAATCAGCCACAATGCCGCCGGGATGTCTTATTTCCCAGCCGAGCCAATGACAATTTCCGCGTGGTCCAACATTATTCAGTCGATCGGTGGCTGCTTGTATTACTATTTTTGATTGGGCCGTCATTCCTTTTTTTCTTTCTTTCACATGGGGGTCGGAGGCACCTGTAATCCACGTACAACGCCCAGGGGCAAATTGGAACAAAAAGAGATGTCTCTGATGTTGCCGTCGACTTGCCTCATTCTGTACTATTGCCGCACTAGAGAAGTGTATTCTTCTAGAATAACGGTGGCAATTATTTGCCCAATCTATTTTTGCGAATTTGTATGCCTGCGCTCTATTTCAGTTATTCAGAGCACCTACGGAGTACAGCTCTCTGTACAGTGACGGTACCCGGCAGATACTCCCACAGATACAACCAAACCATGGTTCCCCTCTCCGCATCCGACCCATTCAGCGCATTCCCTGGTTCTCCATCGCTGCATATGATCCTCTGATTGCTCAAGATCCGGTGGATTGGTGACGCTCGTTTCAGATACATCATCACCGCAGGCTTAGCCTTGACTTCCTTTTGCCGACGGACTGCCCCGGTGAATTCTATCATTTCCATTTGGACCGTGTCAACTATCGAATCGTGGACTCGATGTATACACTGGGAAGCATGGTTGGCGCGGTTCATCGATATTACCTACAAGTGTAGTGTTATTTGCATCTGGGCTGCTTTGTACGATACTTTGAGTCTAGATGCATTTCGCATTCTGTATATGTGCGGAGTACGGATACGTACTGGTGGTCGACGCCTAGATCCATACACTTTTGACAGGTCTGTTTGTGATCAGGTGAAACATCCTTGATACTCGTGGTCCACCGACCCTGTCCGTCCGGATCCTTTTGGATGCAACGCAGAATAATAACTCACTGGAATTGCCGCTTCAGGAATGCCATGTTTGATCAAGTGTACCCATATAGTTCGTTATTCTGCATGATTGGATCGGATCTGGTGCAACACACCCTGAAGCCTGAAGCCAATTTCATCATGACATCGTACCCTGTCCCCTGTCTGCCGCGGCGGATATGCCCGAGATCCAGGTTCAGCTGGTTCGTATACTTCTCCGTACGTGTAGCGCCGTGAGCATCCAATCGATAGCACAAGCAGGCTATATCAGATAGACTATCGGGTAGCATGTCTGAAAACAGCGACAAAAGTATTCCGTGGATGGCAAATCATTTCTTCCCTTTCTTCTTGCCCTTTTCGTTCCTGCCATTCTCCTTCTTCTTATCCCATCCACCCCGAATCAACGCATCGCGCCCAACGGCGTTGATAATACGAAACCTGTCCGGGCCCAGGTGTACCCCGCCGTACCACCTTGTCACGACCACCACGACATCCCAGACATCCATCAACTGCATGAGATGCAACAGTCGTCCTCCCGCAGCCGTCTCACCGTCGTCATCACTGTCCTGCACAATCATTTCTTCTTCCTCGCCTTTGCCATTGCTGGCACTCCGTTTCTCCCTGATTCGCCATGCGCTGATATTGTGCGTCGCTGCTGCCACTTTCTTCTCCGTCGCGAGCAGGTGGTCCAGGTATGCCTGTGCTTGCGCAAGACTGGTGACATGCGCTGCGCGCCCGACAAATATCGATTTCTTCTCCGTCACCACCTCAGAAAGAATCCAGTCGGGCGGACTGTCAATTCCGAAGTTATCCCGTAACGAGAGCGTAGCGAATTCCTCTGGCGCAAGGTCATTCGTAGTCGTAGCCTCCTCGTCTTCCTCTTCTTCTTCGTTATTACCACCAATATTCAACTCCTCAAACGCCTCGACGGCCTCATTGATAATATCAAAAAGACAAACCGCCCCAGGCTGATGTATCCTGCCCACAATATCCTCCACCACATCCACCGCGACCTTCCCCTCCCCGCGCGCGCCCGTGGACGCAGTCCCCAGAACCCTTGGCCGTGTCTCTGGATACGAAATTTCGAACCCGATAATAAACGATAAAGTCGGATGATTCGGAAGCTGCAGTTTTATACTCGATGCGATGGCCGCTGCGGAGCCAGCGCTGCCCAGATCAAGAGTCGCAGTGTTAGTGGCGGAGGGGGTACTGTTTATGGTGACGGTGTCGGGGTCGTAGATGGCATTGATGGCTTCGATTTCTTCGGCGAGATCAGCATTTTGGAGGGTGTCAAGGGAGAACATTTTGGCGTAACTGGTGTGTGGGTGTACTATGTATTATTGGATGTGCTTTGCTTCATGTGCTCTGAGCTTAAGAATCTTAGCCCCGCTGAGAACCATGTTAAAGGGGTTATATAAACTACTCGGTAGTTATTGTCTAAGCAATGGCCGGCTGGCCTAATGGTAAGGCGCTTGACTTCGAATCAAGAGATTGCAGGTTCGAGCCCTGCGTCGGTCATGTTTCTTTTTTTCTTTCTTTCCTTTTTTTTTTTTTTTTTTTTTTTTTTTTTTTTCCATTTGTATGGCCTGTCCTCTTTTCTCTTCTTATTCTTTCTACGGAGTAGATTTCTATTTTTACGAATTTTGATCTTAAACTCTCGCTTTGTCATTTTTCTCGATCTACTACGGTATATACTCCGGAGTACAGCAGGCCGATATCGGTGTCCAATGCATAACGAATCCATGAACAACCAGATTATCAAATACCACATGCTCTTATCCACTTATCCATGGTCCATGGTGTACTTGACTATCAGGCTGTGAATCTGTTTGCCCCTTTGCCTCTCTTTTAGGTTTATCTTTGCCACAGGAACTTGGGGCACTTGGAGACGGATGCAGGTACAGCGAGCTCAGGCCACTGGAGACGGACGTACCTGAGAGTGTTCTATAGTCCTATGTCCAATGCCTTATGTCTACTTCTGTCCAAATCGATGCGAACAGTCTACTCTGTACAATGGCCGAATATTACCCCTAAGTCACTATAGTAGCCAGAATATAGTCTGTACATAATTGCTGGATCGCTCCCTGAAGATCAGGTTACAGATCTGGGGAAATCCCCACTTTGGATCCGACCCATTTACGTACCTGCGCCTCCAGACTCAGATTCTCTCCAAAAACCGCCCCTGGAAGGTCGAAAAGACTCGCAGACTCAATAATTCGAGCCTCCAACCAGAGCCTACCATGGGATGCATTTGTTTGCTGGCCACTCGTCGTTGTTCCAGTTGTCTTGCTGATTCAGCATGGCACACACAGCATTGCCGTCACTTGATTGGTTGTCTATGCCTCAGTCAGCAACCGGTTTCTGACCTTCGTCTTTAGGCTGTCTTTCTTCTTTTCTTTTTTTCTCTCTTTCGTCTCTCTTTTCTCTTGCTTATTCTTGTTCCCCCTCATTTATCCGAATTATGTTCACACTTACTCGGGGCAGTTAGTTGCTTACAGTCATTTTTTTCAGCCCTGCTACCCGTTGTCATCTCCGATCTCCGTTTCCGTTGATTCCGCCGCTTTCAATCCTACCGCAAATAACTTATATTTACGAACTCCTCATCGCTGGCTCGATTGATTCACACTGCTCCTTTTTGATTTAAACGCCTCACAATGTACGGCGAAGGCAACGTCGAGTCCAGGGTTTACATCCCTCCGCTTCTTGACGCCGAAGAAGATCGTTCCGCCGATCCCGACGCTTCCGAACAGCTCCTGCGCCCGCATGATGAGGAATCCGGCCCCAACTATCTCCCCGTCTGGCTACAGGAGTCTTCCAAGTCGTTTCGCTGGGGCTGGGTGCCTTTGCCCTTGCGGAAGGTTGGCCGTACTACGGCAAACTGGGTTAAGGGCCCTATTCCGTCTCATCCGTTGTTGTTGAGCCCGTTGTTCCCGCAGTTCCAAGAACTCCCGGTCCGGTACCTGGAGAGGTTCTTTCCTAAGCGGAAGCATAAGGTTTCGTTGTTGTTGGGGCTTTATTTGACCTGGTTTTTGCCGTGGTTTATTGTGCTGTTGCATTCGAGGTCGTCGGGGTATATTGAGGGATATGGAGCGCCGCAGACGCTTGCATGTGATACCACTTTCTGGTGAGTCTACATCTTGACCTCTTTTCAAGATGCAAGAAGCTAACGACAACAGGGAATTTGGTAATGGCTGTGGTCTCAACGGCAATGACTGCCGTCCCTTCACTGCCTCTAATGTCCCATTCCGCTGTCCTGCAAACTGCCGTTCTGCGAAACTGACGACGCCTCATACCGTTGGAAATGAAACATACAACTACCAACCGCTCGTTGTCGGAGGACCGGATCCGGAGACTTCCTCTCCAGCCACGTATCGGGCGGATAGTTTCGTCTGCCAAGCTGCCATCCACTCGGGCGCCATCTCGAATTCCGTCGGGGGCTGCGGTGTCGTTCGTCTCGAAGGAGCGGCACATAACTTCCCCCCGTCCAAGCAGCACGGTATCGTGTCGTCTGGTTTCCCTTCGACGTTCCCAAAGTCGTTCACTTTTGTCGACCTATCGTCGTCGCAAGCTACTTGTCCCAAGGACCCCAGATGGCCGCTTCTGGGCGTCACGGCTGCTGCCGTGGCCGTCCTTTGGCTTTTCTGTACCTCCCCGCCTGTTTTGTTCTTCAGCACCTTCTTTATGGTTTTCTCCCACACAGGCCTGGTGTCTGACCCGCCCTCGTATCCCTACTTTGCCGATCTGGCCTCCGCGTTACTGTCGCGGATGCTGCCGGCGTCGTTCGTTGCGTATGTGCTCTACAAGTTCTGCGCGCAGCCTCTGTTGTCTCCGCTTTCGTTGCCCGGTTATCAGCTTACCAAGCTGTTCCTCTACTTGCCACCGCTCTTCTTTGCTGCGCTGAATAACTACACCTTTGCCAAGTTGATCCCTCTGGAGCGTCTCACTCCTCATGATATCCAAAAGCAGCCGGGGGCAAAGTTTGCCTTGGCCATTGTGATTCCGACCGTGATTTGTGTCATTCTCAGCCAAGCTTGGCAAATCCGCCAGGGTGGTTTGATGCCGCGGTATCTGAAGATCTATGGTACCATGGGTATCATCCTCTTGATCCTACTTCCGTTGCCCGGTCTCCGTCTTCGGATTCACCACTATATCCTTGCCATTCTTCTCATGCCGGGAACTGCTTTCCCTACCCGCCCGTCGTTGATTTACCAGGGTCTGCTTCTGGGTCTCTTTATCAACGGTGTCGCTCGATGGGGATTTGCGTCGATTATTGAGACTCCCGCTTCCTTGGGTGAGGTTGCTCCTGGCCCGGTGGGACCGCACGGCTGGTGGGGTGCCACCTACCCCAACATCACGGACTCTTCTGTCCTGATCCACCTACCCGACAGAGGCTCTGGCGAGGAATATCGTGGCAATGGCAACATCACTTTTGCTCTGTGGGAACACGAGCGCATGGCCAAGTTTGGCGTTGACGGTGTGTCCGTCCTTGTCAATGACGTGGAACGCTGGAGGGGATACCTCGACGAGGACAAGCAAGGCGAGTTCACCTGGCACCGTCACGGTCACAAGGGTCTGGAAATGTCCCATCAGTCTACTATCGAGGATGATGCGGAGCCGGACCAGTTTGGTGTCAACATGGCAGATGAACCAAATGAAGATAACAAACCTGAGGATATCTTCTTCCGCTTTGCGTTCCTCAAAGGTGCTGAAGCGGGTGGTTATGGCGGTGCTGGCGTTTGGCTCAGTGATGGGACGTGGGTTTCTGCTGATCCTCCTGAAATATAAATCGTTTTTCTGTGTTAGTTGATTTCGCTGTTTTCAGTCTTCTAGCTGTTGCAAGATTTGACGAGAGACTACTATACCCCAGTATGGAATGGATAACCACCTGGTGTGGTTGGGTATGGGCGTTGTGATATTGGTTTTGTTATTTTTCTTTATGGCAACTTTCTTTGATGATTTATGATGAATTGAATGGTATGTTTGATATGTGCATACACCCCGTAGAAATTTCGTCTCGTAAAGGCAACTCACGGCCAGCCCGAAAAATCAATCAACGAAAGATCCTCCTCCAACAACCCCATCATATACTGATTCCCGGAGAACCAATTTCCTAACTGCGTCGTCTGCGACACTCCTCCATCCATCATCACATCCGACATCCCACCACTCCCATCTGCACCTGCACCACCACCACTATCAACACCATCCCCAAAACCAACGCCAACTCCCGGCGGCGCCAACCCCAACGCACTCAAATACACATCAAACTCCTGCCCCACACTCGCCAGCACCTCATCCCCACCACTACTACTACTCTGCCCCCTCGCAGCCTGCACCTTGGCCTCAACGTACAACTTCGCCACGGAACACAGCACCTGACATAACCGGTGCAGATTGGCGATGGTCTCGGAGTGCGCGGTTAGCGGGCGCAGGGACAGGACGAAGTCTGTTAGGCGGGAGAGGTCTGTCACCCCTCCACTGTTGTCGTTGTCGCTGTCGTTGTCACCGGTAGGCGACCTGCTAGCAGGTGGAGTTGGAGTTGGAGTTGGAGTTGGAGCATTGGCGATGGGAACCTCAAGAATATGACAAATAAGCACGATAAACGGAATAAACGGCGCGTAGAAAATCGTCCAGTGCATGTAACTGCATTTCAAAATCTCATTGCTCCCCTTGATACTCGTCATGCAGTCCTGGTGTGCTTGGAGCGCTGCACGAGCTGTCTCGATGCAGTCGTGTGTGAAGGCGCTGGGGGAATCGGGGGAGGGCGGGATTGCGCGGTAGATTAGGGTGAGGACGGAGAAGCGGCTGACGCGGTCGGATTTGAGGTAGTAGTCTTGAAGTTTGCTGAGGGTGTGTTCGTGTTCGGTTGTGAGTTTCTATACTTTTGTTAGTTATCTCGTTGGGATGGGTAGAGGAGGGAGGGGGCACCTTGAATGGATCCATGACAGTGCATTGCATTTCCTCTGCTAAGTGTTTCGCATGCGCGACACGGTCTTCTTCAGGCTGCGATAGCGCAGCCGGACTATACAGGTACTCATAAACCTTACCCTGAATCCTCGCGAGCCGAATCCATAGTTTATGAATAGTCTTCCACGGCTGTACGATGTTGGATGCCTCAAAGTTCATGGGGAGCGAGATATCATAGTCCTGGATTGACGAGGAGCGTCCCAGACGCAGGGAAAGCGCTTTGTCGAGACAGTAGATCGACCAAAAGAGGCCAATTTTGTCTTGTTGGGTAGATGGGGTGTCGTGTTCCATTGAGGAGGCGCGGTGGTAGCCGAGGGTTTGACAGAGGCGGGCTGCGGTTGATGTTAGAGTCCAGGCGAAGGAGGGTTTGGAGATTTCGATTGCGTGGATGGCCTGTCTTTCGTTAGCTTTTGGATGGGATGCGGCAGGGGGGAGGAAGGAGTACTCCTAGAGCAAGAGCTTCGATGGACTCTGCGCGGGCGGGCATTAGGAGGTTCAGGTTGATCAGGGCTGTTTCGAGGTTGTTACGGCAGAGACCGAGGTATTTCTGGCATTCTTCTCTTGTCTCGTGGTCTTTGGCCATGAAGCTCCATTCGACGAAGACGTTGTATAGACCTCCGTTGACTACGATGAAGGTGGCGTCTGAGTACTCGTCGATGGCAAAGTATACCTCGCGACACTTCTGGACAAACTTATCAACGGAGATAAACGGAAAATATCCCTCGAACATTGCCGGTGGACTCTCTATCCAAACATCAGCAACACAACAAAAGTAACAAACAATGAGAATACTAACCCTTAACCCACCGACACAACCTCAAAACCAACTCCATCGGCGGCATAGCCAAATCCCGCAACCCCGTCCCCCGAATCGCCGTCTGATTCGGTAACCGCACCTCCCGCGAACTCGACGGATGCGCCTGATGATCCTGCATACTCACAATCTGCTTCAGCGTCGACAGCGCCGCCCCAATCCGTGGGCTGGATACTTGCAGCGCGCTCTGCGAGACTGCTGTCTCGAGGAACTCGCTCGCGTAGGCGGAGTGCGCGGCCATTGAGGAGTTGCCTTCGAAGGGACTGGATTCGTGCTGGTCCAACGCTGCTGCGGTGGTTGTGCGGGAGGGGTAGACTGGGGTTGTGGGGGTTATGTGTATTTGTCGGGATGTGTGTGTGGTTGAGGGGTTGTATAGTGGTTCAACATTTGGGATAGCAGTAGCAGCAGTAGGAACAGGGGCAGCTGTCCTGGTGGATTTTATGGTCGACTTCAAGTCACGGAGGGATTCCTCGATGCTTCCAAGGCGCTCCTCGATTAGGTCGATCTTCTGCTCACTGTACGGCATCAACATCACTCCATCATTCCATAAATAGAACCAGGTTAGGCGTACTATTGACTAGAAATCAAAACCCTCCGCCGCGGCTCCGGGGGCTTCTGTCCTGCTCCCGTAGAGCGACAGACGGTCCTGGAAGTACGACAATTTGCGCATGGTGTGCGTTTATCGCAGCGGATCTACTATATCCATCAGATATGTTCATCTAGATTTACCAATTGGAGGTTTGTGTACCTTTCGCAATCGACATTGGTCACACTATGACTGTCAAGACTTGTGATATATATCGAGACAGAGTGGCCACTTACCGCACGGCGTGTGTCCTGTGTCTCTCTGGGCTCGCTTTCGGGTTCCTCGGCTTCCATTGTGATTGACACAGGGTGATTTGTTAGAAGGCTATCGAATAAAGTGGATGCTCGTTCTGAAAGGTTGGCGTTAGTGATGGTTAAAAGGATGTCGGAACCCGCGGACTCCGACCACGGGACGAACTTACCCTGAGGTTTATACGAAGTTTTCTTCCTACTTTAGTATTGAATCTACTACTGCTCAATGTGAATACCAAAGATTGCTTTTATTGGGGTATCAAGTATATAGCACAAGTCTATACTTCATCAAACATATATCATAAACATAGCGACAATGCAGAAAAAAATCACTTTTTAATCCCAATCACAGCCAAATTCCTCGGACTCTCCGTGTAATCAAAAACCGGCTCAACCCAAGCATCCTTAACCTCATCGTGCTCCCTCAAAAACTGCCACCGATCAACAACAATAACCGCCTCGATCAACGACGCACTGAACGCCATCAAACTCCACGTAATGCTGAGTTGCTTCTTCGCCTGCTGGAAGTCCTTCTCATAACGGTCCAGATCCTCCTCAGTAAGACCTTCCATGCCGGCTCGGACCTTCTCCCCAGATTCTGGATCGCGGGTGAGTTTCGCGGTTGCGGCACGTACGTACGCGCGGAAGGAGACGAAGGCGGCTTTACGGAGGGATCCTACGACGAGTGGATTTGCGGAATCTTCTTTGGAGGCGGGTTTTTCGTAGAGGTCTGTCGGGACGGAGGGTCTGGAGACGATTTTGCGGTCGACTAGGATGCGCTGGAGGAGAGTGCGGTAGAAGTGGCGGGTGAAGAAGTTTTCACTTTCGGGGCGGGACCAGTTGTAGGGTGCTTGGAGGGACATGGAGCGCGCGGTGATGTTTATTTTGACGCCCGTGCCGCTGTCGTGCTCGAAGTCCTCGAGGCGCTTGGACATGGGGAAGCCGTGGGGGTCGTAGGCTAGGGCCTCTTTTGTGAGGCGGGGGTGGAGGGAGCGGAGGATGGGGAGTTTGTAGGTTGCGGGACCAAGGCGCTCCGTGACGAGGTTGTAGCAGCAGCCGATCATGGCGATTGCTTTGACGGAGGGGTTCAAGACCAGGGAACGGACGCCGTGGTGGAGGAGATTTCCGCATGAGTGTAGGGAAATCACCATGACATTGGGGTCCGTGGCGTCCTTGGTACCCTTCGCGACTTGCGACTCTGATTCAGAGACTGGTGGCGATTCAACCACGTCTTTGATGATAGGCTCCAGATACCCATCCTTGATCTCGTGTTCAATGTAGTCCATGGCCCCGCCCGGCTTAAGAGCTTCGACATCAACAACAGGCTTCTTAGGTTTGGGTGCATGTGCACCTTTGTCGTCCGGTTTGAATCCAAACTCGCCTGGCTCTAGGCTAACATCCCGAAACACATTGACGACAGTGAGATCATCGTCGTCCCCGTTCACGGATTCTGGTGCAACTTCCCCAGGAGTGCTCTGCACGACCTCCATCGTCCGCTGCGGCACATCTAGGTTTTGCACCTCCGGCTCCTCCGAGTCTTTACAGACCTTGCAGGGATCTTCCTTTTTGTTGTAGAAAACCACTTGTTTCTCAGACAACTTGGCATGCACGTCAAATCCCTTCGCGCCTCGGATATACTGGTGTCTCCGCTCAATGGCAATAATGTGTCTGTTGTATGGTTGGCTTGCAAGGGTGCGCCCCAGATAGTTCTGGCCCGATCCGAAATCGACAATGTGGGAAATTCCCTCGCCTCGTTGTTTCGCAACGGTGTTACAGAGGGAGTCGACGTAGTCGGAGAAATGCGCCACCTCGTGATATTTCTTCATATTCATTCCGACCGAGATATGTTTGGGTATCGTGGGATTCGTGGATTGCGCGGGGACAAAGTCGCGCCCCAGACTCAATCTTCGGATTTGGTAGATGTACTCGACGAGATCTGTCGGTGGTAACGGGCCTCCATTCCAGCCATCTTGTCCCTCCCCGTTTGCAGATTCATTTAGACACCGGTCCCGAAGCGCATAAATATCCTCTCTGAGCAGAAGATGCAGAATATCCTGCATTTCATGTTTGTCGAAGAATGTCCTCCATGATTCGGGCAACAACTCAGTATACAGATCGGGCTGCCGCGTTAGAAAATCTTGCATGTGAACACCCCCGCAGACATGTCTGAACAAATCCGACGAGGTAATAAAGGACAGCAGCTCATCGACGTAGGCATCCGGGTCCGTCCACTCCTCGCTGAGTGGTAGGGGTGGTTTCGGTGGCATGCGTCGTTTCGAGGATGCAGGTCAGTTTCCAAAAATACCACAAACAAGCCTTGCACTTGCCAATTGTCAGGGACCCCCTGGGGCTGTAATAATAATAATAATAATAATAATGCGACAGAAAAAGAAGCAAAGACCGCGGAGATAGCGTAGAAGTAGTGTCGAGGAGGAGGGAATATCGTGGGGACAATCAAATTTTAGGAGATTACCACATGCGGTTTAGCGTCGCAGCGATCTAAAGCAGAACGACACACCCGCACAGGAAGCTAGTACTAGTACTAATAATGGCTATACAACGCCTACTGCTCGGGCAAATGGCTCATGCCTGTGACCAGAAGTCCCGGATTTCATGGCTTCGCTGGATAGTGAGAGATTTCCTGTCAAAATGAGAGGATCTGCCGTTGCATGTTTTGCAACGCCCTGAACAACAGACATTCAAACAAAGACCACCGGCAGAAACAAACAACACACTGACCAATGATAAGGGATCAACTATTGGGAATTGCAGAATAATAGCATTCCGGTGTGATGGTGTTGTGATAGTCCAATTCGCGTCTTACAGGAGTACTTACGTACGCTTGTACCGCATATTATCCAGCAAAACTATTCGGCTACAGACAGGCATACGTACAAAGGAATGTGCTCGCATGACGAAGCCAGTGGTCTTATCTGCGATCTCCTTGTGTTTCTGACGGCGTCACCAGGCCCCGACGATCATCGATCAGTGAGGTAAGGGCCGTTCATTCCAGTGAAAGGGGACCCCCTAAGCTTTTTGGTCTCCATCGCGGAGGATATACATAACCACTATTGCCCCAGAGTCTCTACCAAATCCGTCTCAATGGTGACCAGTCAAAGGATACTGATCTTCGATGCAGCAGTCTGTTCTGTATCCTGCATGCTCAGCCTGTATCCTGGAAAGGTACCTAACGCGTCACACCGTCTGCACCTGATATATCATCCCACGGAAGATCCGTCTCCTTACTGCCAAGCTTTGATTAAACCAACTGCTCAACAGGGGTACTGGAGATCGTTGTTAAGCAGGAAGTCCCCGCCGGATTGACCTCATACATTCTCTACGAACTGAAAATAAGTTAGTCCGAAAGCACTATGGTAAGTTTGACGCCGTCGATACTCGAGATTAAGTCCATCGCCAAGATTCCATAGAATTCAATAAGATCGCCAAGCATTCGTGCTAATGTCGAAATCCTCCGATCACTCAGATCATCTACTCAGATACGAGCGTGACACCGAAGCAGAAGCCTTTTGGCTCGGTGACCGATGTCCTATTTCAGATAATCATTAATGGGGACCTGGACATGGTCCCGACTCTCTGTCTCGTCAACAAAGCTACATATGACTCCACCAAAGTCCTCGAACCACATATCTGTGGTTGGTTCATGTGTCGACACCAAGTCACAGGATTCGACCGTGTTCTTCGGCTGGATCGAAGGACAGGCCGTCCACGACCCTTAACAGTACATTCACTCCTGAGATTTGATCGTCGCCGGGATATTGCCCAACGCATCTCCCGTCACATTGTCCCTGCAGTATGGGGGCCATTCTCGGACGATGATGAGAATCTAGAAATGAACTTCGACGCAGAGCTACGCCTTGCGCAACGCATTGAGCGGGGCCTGTATGTTTTGTTTCACATGTCGGATATTGCTCGAGACATGGAAAGATCAAAACAGCAAAGGAGAAAACCCCTAGCTCCGGTGGCAATAGGGCGATTAATAGCGCTGAGCCAGACATTCGATGAATACGATGGCCTCCCAGAGCAAAAAAGGGAATCGGTATCGTTTGAAAACTACGCTGACCACGTGTACAAGGTCCTAAAATGGGGCGCGACGGAAGCCGACATCGGTCGAAAGCGCCTGGAATTCCGACGTCATCTGGGCAGAGAACGAGAAATTGATCTCCACGTTGCTCTTCGGATGATGCGGGAGCGGACAGAAAAGATGCTCCTTCGACACGGGCCCAGCGACTGGTTCCGTGACGCGAAGAACGAATATAGTGTGATTTCATGGTTCCTCCTGCGACAATCGCCACGGACACTAGAGAAGCTATTCCTCAGCGATCCGGACCAATGCTGCGACATAGAAGGGAAGCTGGGTATCGTGAACGGGGTACGGGTGTGCCATTTCGCAGACCCACTGGACAACTACTGGAAAGCGTGGAAGGAGGATCCTCAATTGGGATGCCAGGATTGCGACTGCAAGCGACGAGCACGCAGCTGGAGCATGAAGCCGGCCCTGATTGATGCTCGGGGGCGAGAACATAATATCGCTGCAGAGAAGTATCTCAAGGAGACGTGGAATCAGCGGCATGTTGGTCTTCATCGGGCGTTTATGACAGGGCAATTTACTACTTTTCTATAAGTTATGTATACTAGATGAATCAATAACTACAATTGTATTCTATGCCGAGCATCCGTATTGAGTATCCATAATTATCACTGTTCCTGTCCATAGATCGGTGGTCGAGACCGCCAAGAATCCCGGGAGTCGCGTTCAACCTCCGCCTTGAAACGGAGTCCGTCTAAACACCTGTCTGTACACTTACCCATACCAGCTACATCATATGATTTTCTCTTCCTTATAGCGACTCTAGGTATTCACACTCTCACACCAACTCAACATGGACCCCTCAGACCCCTTCCTCCAAGTCCAAGGGTGAGTCTCCCCACCCCCATCCCTATCAACCACCGACCCCCGTTCCAGCAACCAACTAACCACCAAATCTCAACAGAGACGTCCTCAACTCCCTCCAAACATCTCGCCCCCTCTTCTCTTCCTACCTCCGCATCCGCTCCCTCGCAAAATCTCCCCAAAACCCCGAACTCCAACAAGCGCGCTCCGAACTCGAAACCACCCTCTCCGAACTCAGCGCCGACCTCGACGATCTCGTTGAAAGCGTCCGCGCCGTCGAACTCGACCCCTACCGATATGGCCTGGAGCTCGAGGAAGTTTCAAGACGACGAGGGCTAGTCAGTGATGTCGGGAGGGAAATCGAGGAGATGAGAGCAGAGTTGCAGAAGGCGATTACGGATACAACTACAACAACACCGGGGGGAACGGGGGATAGTAGGTTACCACTACCGGAGGACTTTGATCAGGATTTACCGCCCGAGGAACGGGATGATGATTACTATGCTGCGATGGAGGAGCAGCGGCAGGCGGAGTTGATGCATGAGCAGGATGAGCAGCTGGATGGGGTGTTTCGGACCGTGGGGCATTTGCGCGATCAGGCGAATGATATGGGGAGGGAGTTGGAGAGTCAGGCTGTTATGCTGGGGGAGGTTGATACGTTGGCGGATCGGGTTGGGGGGAAGTTGCAGGGGGGGATGTCGAGGTTGAAGCATATTGTGAGGCAGAATGAGGGTGAGTATTCTCTTGCAATTGTTTGCTACGATGTAATAACGCTGACTTGACTGATATAGATACGATGTCGTCTTTTTGTATTGCGACACTCATTTTCGTTCTCGTTCTATTATTAATTTTGATAATTGCTCTATGAAGCTATCATGGCAAACATAACTCGGGGCATAGGGGTCATCAAGGTTCTTGTTGTTCTTCACGTGAGAGAAAACATGACTCGGGGTACAGGATAACGGGGTTATCAGGGGTTTGTTAATCTTTGCGTGAGAAAATGTGTCAGAAATGGCGTTCAACGTTTAGACTCTGGTCTTCTTACGGGGGCGCGACTCCTCATCATCATCGTCCTCCTCGTCATCCCAGTCTTCATCATCGAGCTCTTCGAGGTCCTCGGCGATCTCGTACGATTGCACTATTATCAGTCAGCCATTGCTCTTTTTCTCGACATTGTCAGGGGTACCTACCATAGTACTTGAGGGCGTTGGGCCAGAGGTCTTCGGCGATGGAGATGGCGAGGTCCTCGCCGTCGGGGAAGACCTCGGCGAATTCGAGGTCGTCTTCATCGTCGTCCTCATCGTCATCGTCCTCGTCATCGTCGTCTTCGACAGCCTCACCCTTCTGGATCTTAGCCCAGCGCTCCTCCTCGTCCTTGACACCCTGCTTGGACTCCTCAGCGGTGACACTGCGTCCACGGTAACCGAAGAAAGCGAAGAAGCTAGCGCCAGCGGGGCTCTCGGGGTCCTCGTCGTCCTCGTCGTCCTCAGCAGCCGCAGCCGCAGCCTCAGTCTGAACCTCAGCAATCTTGTTGACAAGCTTCTCGAACTCAGGCAGCTCCTTGCGGTCACCACCCTTCTTCTCAGCCCCTGCAAGGTCACAAGCAGCATCCAACAGACCCTTGGTCAGGTCCTTGCCCTCCTTCCAGTTGATACGGACAGGCTCCGAGACGAGACCCTCCCAGGTGCGTCTCTTGCCCTCAGCAGACTTGGTGACCTGGGTGCGCCAGTAGAAGTCCTTGACGAGCTTCTCGTTCTCGAAGAAGGGGTTCTCGTCGCCGGTCTGGAACTCAAAGGTGAAGCGCAAGCTGCGGGGCTCACCCTGGCCCTTCTCGTTGACCTCGAATCGCTCAACGCTCAAGTTCTTGAGCGAGGAGCCGAGCACGGCAGCGTCCGAGGGCAAGACGTACTCGTCAATGTCGGCGGGGGCGTTGGAGAAGACACGGATCCAGAAGTCATTTTGGATCTCGGGGGTGGTGATGAGGTTGTTGCGCTTCTCGTAGAGGGGCTGCAGGAGGGGGACGGATTGGCGGACTTTTCCTCTAGTTAGCAAATGCCTTCTACACCATGGACCTGAAATACATACGCTGCTCAACCTCCGCGCGAATGAACTCCTGCTCCAAATGCGAGATCTTCTTCGCGGCCTCCTTGGAGACAGTAGGGATCTCGACGAGGTTTTCCTGACCAGCAGACATTATGATAAGAGAAATGAGGGTATATTTCGTTACACAGAACAAAAAAAAAAGGAATTGGGGTATGTGAGAGAAGAAAGAAACAAGACGAAAAAAAGTTAGAGTAGAGGGGCAGAAGTAAATAAAAAATTCTGCCGTCGCAACAGCGGGTTATCGGTACGGTATCTTAGCACTAAAAAACTCAGATTACCGCCTTGGGTAATGATTGGTGCACGTGGATGAGTAATTGTAGTTAATTAGGCTGGTGGGAGGTGATGTCATTGGACAGCCCTAGTTATTCACTTTACAGTATGGTCTCAAATATGAGTAGACTCAGTTTTAGGGTGATTATACGAATCTACAGGAATTTCCATGTGGCTGCTATCACAACTAATTTTTCATGAAAGCATGGGAAAAGGCCGAGACAGGCTAAGTATGTACGAAGCAGTGAGGATTCTGCAGAAGCAGCTTATTTTCAAGAACGACAGAATTGAATTCGACACGACAAAGAGGTGCTTGGTAACAGTCATATCTTCCCCCTGCAGCTTATGGGTAATGGGGCAATGAGAACGTCGCCAACACAGAATCTAGGCCGCACTGAGCAAAGAATCAAAGAGGCTCGAACGGACATTCGAGCCTCGGGGCCCGGTTCTAAATTAAATATGGGAGTGATATTTCCAATGTGGACTGAATGGCGCAAACCGCCGTTTACTTGTCCTTTCTCCATCCCATACCCGCGTTGGTCAAGACAGCCATCGTACTGTTCTGCATCAAAACTCTGGAGCGTCTTGTCGAAGCTAAAAACGACCAGAGCGAATGGCTTCCCTACGCCATTACCCGATCACACTGTATGTTCCTGGGCGACAATGATCTGCAAATCAACGGTAAGTAATGGATGAAGAGGGTTCATTATGCAATGCTAATGGATGTTTTTAGCAATCACAAAAAAAGTACTAGAACCAGCAAAAGAAGACTGAAAGACAGTGGAGACTGCACCTTTGTCCTAACTCATTGTTAGGGACCTGGGCCTGTCAGCTTTCTTATTCAGACATTGGTTTCTTAACCATACCAGAGCAGAAGAATCAAGAATCACATCACAATCTGAATTGCCATGCATTTTCCGAGTGCCCCGGTTTGCCATCGAGATGAGGAAGCCAAATGCAGAGTCGACCGCGACTCTAAAGTCAAGAATGTCCGGCAAATCCCGTCGTCAAAGTCAACTATAGAAAAAGTCATTGAAAACCTGGCGCGACAAAAGCCATACGTTCCTCCTGCGGCTCATAGACATCGACAAGCGTTCTATTCCAGAAGGGGAGCCGGAGAATTAAGCTTCTTTCAGCAGGTATTCTTTCGCAACGTCGTCAATAACCCACGCAGGAAAGCGTCTATTTTAATGGTCAATGGGTGCAGGAATAGGCCATTCTCATACGCAAGGCTAATTTGGCTCACCTCCTTCTGGCCACCACGTTACCGTACATTTGCCGATTATCTCGAATGATCCCCTGGCGCAGCATCTTCGATCCGAGTTTGGTGATATTGTCGTTTGGCTCTACGAAGCAAATGATGCAGCGGAAATACAAATCTTTTTGATAAGCTAGAGAAGCGAACTAATACTGAAAAATACTCAACAAGAGATGGGAGTCTTCCAGGCCGATAATTACTGGATACGGCGGAGCATTTCGGACTGGGAGTCTTCGTGGTAAACCCCTCTCAGCATACGAGTCGGGAGCCCGGGACGTGTTATCGTGCCGGTGACGGGTTCTATTTCATGGGAAGGGGGAGTGTCTCGTTCAAAAGACGTTTTACAGTAACGATGCCATTCTTATATGGATGACCAAACTATTTGATTTTACGACATCGGACACGGGGGAGTGACCGCATTTTCTGCGTGTCAGCCGGTTGAGAACACTAAAGTCGTGCCAACGCTGCTAACGTGATGTCTTTTAGTTCTACATAGTTATTCTTTATGGACATACCGTATGTACTGCTATTCCCCGCGAAAAATATTTACCCCAAATAGCTAAGCGAGTAGTCCTTTATAACTCGTCGGCTTCTTTCCCCGCGCAAAGCTATCATAACCACGTCCCACGGCCATTTGCTCGAGGAGACTCTCATAAAGATCACGAAAATGATTATAATTGGTTTCTATTGGCCAAGAGATATGGACGAAGAAATCCTTCAATCCCAACCCCCTGAGCCAGGGAGTGACCAGCTCGATAATGCATCGATATAAGGCCAATTTCATTCTCAAGGTCTTGCTAGGATTATCAATGCCAGAAAACACATAAAGATGTTCTTCATCGTAAGAGAGGTCGAGGATTAGTGTGAAGGCCGAGGGTTGGATATGTCGAGCTATGAAATCGATTGTGTTGATGAAGTCGACTGTCGTCGTCTGCTCGGGCAGGAAGCACGTGTCGTCCATTTCGGGAAATCTCCAACGGAGGTGGCAGATTAGGTGCAAGCATTCTGGAGGGAATGGGTGTAGAAATTGGGGAGTTTCCGGTTTCCAGCTGGTTGGTAAAGAAGACGAAGAGGAATAGAATTGTGGCCGTTGGATATCGAGGATGAATTTATTCTGAGTGTAGAAGACATACTATGCTTGGACCTTCAGCTGTTGCGAGGCCTGAAACAACTCAATTGGAAGACCGTGTGGCATGTATAGGGAGGAATAAGAAACCCAGTTTGATGAACAGTAGTAGCTTCCACCGTATGGTGTAGCACCGCAAGCACAAGTCCATAGACATTCTTCCCGAACGAACATCTGCTTCTCATTTACCCACTGAAAATGGCATGGTACAACGATATCCGTGTAGAGTAGGATTTTCTATTGCATTTCCACGGGTAAGTCAAAGAATTGAGCGAAACGGCAACCTACCGGCTGTTCCCCAGTGACTTGGTCAACTGTTTGCTTGACTATCATCTGCAATTTGTGGTCCTTTGACATGACCTATAAATGCCAGTTCTAATTGCTCTGGCTTTAGATGGGCTGCAAGATAAGCACAAAGCTGCTTCCACTCAGGAATAATACGCAGAGCAACATTTTCAACTGGTTTGGAGTCATCAAGGGCATCTGCCATGGATGGATCCAGTCAAATGGAGAGCCGGTGCAGGGACCGGATAGCTACTGGCGTCAGATTGAGTAACGGTGCCAGACCATCATATGTGCCATTAAGGAGCATGAAAAAGTTTAGTGAATACAGAATTGACCGCATGTCCTCTGAGATGACCCGAGAAACATAGAAAAGCTGTGTGGCTATAGGACGGTACCGAAAGCACTCGCTTCAATTTTCTAGTGTCCAGCCCGGAATAACCTCCAGGAATTGATTGACATACAGTATTTTTATCGTCTGACGGGCCGAGGACCATTCGCCAACAGCAGTACCGTCTGTTGAAGGGCCTTCTAAGAAAATGAATGAATCCCGGATCAATCCTAGATAGGCGTAGATCCTGGAGCGGATTCCTGGTGGGAAGCGGAGAAACAACGTCGTGTTTTCCATGGTAGTATGAGGTATCATCTCACTCTTCTAAACAAAATGTGCTTTTGTGTTGCAAGGCTGGGCGCAAATATTGGGTAATCCTCTTGCCGCGCGAATAGATAAAATAGCACATGATTCAGGTAGGTCTACCGACGTCATTCTTCGGGTTTTGGTATTAGATTCACTCGATCCCTGTCGCGTTAGAAATACTATTCGCATGGCTCAATCGGTGGGTGTCGGTGCATGAAACACCCCGATTCAAAGCCATTGGCCAAGATGTCTGGGTCAAATACATCATCGCTCACGGTGCCTTTCGAAGCAAGTTCCGGTACGACATTTGTCATCTACACATCATCGTGCAAAACCATAGGAACGATCAAACAATCAGCATGGCATGGTATAAAAAATTTATCACCGGACACATCGGAGTCCTCATCCAGATCTATATGTAGCTGCGCATTGTGCTGGCAGAATCACAGAATGGCCAGCTTGATGCAAGATTCCATTGCCGGACATGCGATTCGATTCCTAAGTAAAGGCCGCATCTTCAAATACGCCGAAGAACGAGACCTCTCGCTATGGAAGCAATACACGAACAAGGAAAAGTCCAGTCGCATGGCCTACCATGGCCGCATGGACTCAATCGGTGATGCGGATGGAATCGCGGACGGTGTAACTCGGAGTTCGAGTCGAAGTTCTAGGATCGAGTCTATGGGGAGAATTCCGTCATCGGGTTGGTCGGATAGTGGAAATCGCTTTCAGGGTCTGACTGGAATGCGGATTGATCCGGAGAAGGGCAAGGATATCTATTTGATTGAATGGTGGGATGAGAAAGATCAGGAGGTACGGTCACGCCTTTGCTGTATACATAACGAAGCTAATGCGTTGAAGAACCCCCAGAATTGGCCAATATGGAAGAAGCTTTTTGTCACCTTCGAGATTTGCCTACTCACCTTTAGCGTCTACATCGGAAGTGCTATTTTCACCCCCGGAATACCTACCGTGATGCAGGACTTTGGGGTCAGCCAGGTTGCAGCAACGCTGGGATTGACACTTTTTGTCGGTGGATATGGTCTCGGGCCATTGCTATGGTCACCCATGAGCGAAATCCCTCAGATTGGGAGGAATCCGGTGTATATTGCGACGTTGATCGTTTTTGTGGCGCTTCAGGTCCCGACAGCACTGGCTGGGAATTTTGGGACGTTGTTAGCATTTCGGTTTTTGACAGGATTATTTGGATCGCCGGCACTGGCTACGGTATGGACCTTGTAACAATTGACATCCATTTTACCGACGAAGATAGGGAGGTGCAACTATTGCAGACATGTACAAACCATCGAAACGAGCATACGGGATTGGAATCTGGGGTCTCAGTGCCGTCTGTGGTCCCGTGCTAGGACCGCTGGTAGGTGGTTTTGCTGCGCAGGCCAAACACTGGAGATGGACTATCTGGGAGCTGATGTGGCTCTCTGGGTTCGCACTTGCAATGCTGATTATCTTTCTGCCCGAGACATCATCAGCCAATATTCTGTACCGACGCGCGCGACGCTTACGGAAAATGACAGGACGCAAAAACCTGCTGAGCGAACCAGAGATAGAAAGCGAGGGCTTGAGCAGACGAGAAATGGCCATGATCATCTTGGTCAGACCATTTACTCTCAACTTCCTTGAACCAATGGTCTTCCTCCTCAACCTCTACATCGCCCTCATCTACGGCCTGCTATACGTCTGGTTCGAATCCTTCGAGATCGTCTTCGTCGGAATATACCATTTCAACCTAGGCCAGCAAGGCCTAGCATACATCGGTATCCTCGTCGGCGCCCTCATCACAATTGCCCCCTACTACTGGTGGATGAACAAATACCTCGAACCAAAATTCGACGAGAACGGCAACATCCGACCAGAAGCCCGTCTCCCACCAGCCTGCATTGGCGGCTGCTTCATCCCCATCTGTCTCTTCTGGTTCGGATGGAGCGCACGACCGGATATTCACTGGATCATGCCGATCGTCGGATCGGGATTCTTCTCCGTCGGCGCGTTTTTGTTATTCAATTCGGTGTTGAATTACCTGCCCGATGCATATCCGACATATGCGGCTTCGGTACTGGCGGGGAATGATCTGTTTCGGTCGGCATTTGGTGCTGGATTTCCGTTGTTTGCGTCGGCGATGTATCATAATTTAGGGGTTGATTGGGCGAGTTCGACATTGGCGTTTTTGAGTATTGTTTTTATTCCGATCCCGTGGGTTTTGATGAGGGTGATTATTCCTCTTTCCGTGTGGGTGGATTTTGCTAACGGTTATAGTATGGCGAGGTTCTGAGGAAGAAGTACAGTCGATATGCCCGGAAGGACATATAAATATTGATGTCCGTGTCGTTAATCATAATAAAATGTATAGTGTTTAGTCTATCAGTAAAAATTTTGATACCTACTATGACCGGAAACATATTTAGCCCGAACATTAACCTGGTCACCTATAAGCATAGTTCTATGCGCAGTTCGAGTGGTAATAGAGCACTCAATGGCATGTCAATAGCCACTAGGTACTCCGTACACTGTACAGCCACCAATTGACTCGAAATTAAGTTGCCTTGGCTTTGATTGACAGATCTAATCTTATCGCATCGAAGCCCCCACTGGAAAACCCGAGACCCGCTAACTAAGGTTGGAAAAGACTCGTGTATGATTTCCGAAAAGGAATAAAGTGCCCGAGCAACATCTCGGAGTTTTGTGGATGTGATGACGCGGGCGTTTTAGGGCTGAGGTATATAGTTGCAGCCTCTGCACTTGCTGCCGCTCGAGTATTTAGCAGAATTTTATCTTGAGAATACCGCAGTATGAGCAGGTGGCCTCGAGGACTTAAGCTGGCTTATTGCATCCCGGTTGTATATATCATCTTCGCAGCGACAATGTCACAAACTTCAGTAAGTTCACTACCCCAGACACTCGGAATAAGCCTAACAAAATTCAGTGGTGGGAATGGTCGCAGGGGGTCGTTTCGAACCTCCAGCACTCCATTTTCTCCCTCACAAAACCATCACAAAGCAACAATGCCGACTTCCTACGCGCCTACATCAAAGAACATGGGGAGGAAACATTCCGAAACAACCCCTGGGCACTCACAGCCGCAATCGAAGACTTCGCATCCACAGGCAAGCACTTAATGATCTTCAAAGAACCAAAGCTCAAGATCGCCCGCGAAGCCCTGGAGTCCCTGCCCACAAAACCAAAACTCATCATCGAGTTCGGGACTTATGTCGGCAACTCCGCCATCGCCTGGGGCGCAATCCTGCAGGGTCTCCATGGCCCCAACGCAGCTGAGAAAGGATGTCGCGTGTACACATTCGAGCTGGATCCGATTATGGTCCGGCTCTCGAGAGACCTTGTTCAGCTTGCGGGATTAGATGAGATCGTGCATGTGTTGGAGGGTCCTGCGTCTGAGTCTCTGAGGAAGTTGTATAATGAGGGGAAGGTTACCGCTGGTGATGTTGATATGGCGTTTATTGATCACTGGGAGGAGTATTATCTGGCTGATTTGCAGCTGTGTGAGGAATTGAGTGTTTTCCATAAGGGGTCGTTGGTGGTTGCGGATAATACGGATTTTCCTGGGGCGCCGAAGTATCTAGAGTATGTTAGGTCTGGGGGATCGGGGGCTGTTCGGTATGAGAGTGAAGGATATACGAGCCAGACAAAGAGAGGACCGGTGAGTATTTCTTGCCATGGAAATTATTGGGTGTTTGCTAACGTTGGTATCTGCAGAGCGTCGTCGAAATCAGCACTGTTGTGGAAGTCTAATTACTGCATGTGAGGTACTCTGTGCTATACTCTTGTATGCCAAATTAGGAAAGAGCAGAACACAACCAATCAAAGTACAGCCAGCAAAGAAAATGGGTCCAATAACTCGGAATGTAAATTCTTTAACCCGACGGTACTTATGTCAAAACAGATTACAGTTGAAGCCACCCCGACCGTCTACACCTCAGCCAGATTACAGTTCAGCTGACCCGACTCTTGAGCCCAGCTTACCCTGAAAGTGGGGCTCTTGGCACATGTGACCCCGAATTTAAAATCTCAGCATACCCTTTTCTTACCGCTCAATGTAATATACTGTACACATTTTTTGTATAACTAGTTCTCATCATGGACGCAATCAATTTTTATGAGTACCTTGAGCATGATCATACATTGGTCAATGATCTTATTGATCTTAATCTTGATTCATCTAGTGTACAGGATTCTATTTTTGAATCCAGTTTATATGATGAACAAAATGAGCAGATTTTACATGAT